TATCTATCTATCTATCTATCTATCTATCTATCTATCTATCTATCTATCATCTGCCATCTGTTAGCTCAGTCTCTCAAATTTGCTTGCCATGAGTCTGCACTGAATTTGCTTTCAGGCAAAACTTTAGTCCTAAGGGAGGTTTGGCTGTACTTAAAAGCAGAGCCGAAGATCTAAAGACTAGCTGGAAAGCAAGAAATCCAACCATTTTCTGCTTCCTAGCTAATCTAAACCTCCCGGCACAGAGAACAGATGATGGTCGGAAAAAGGAAAAATAGAAATTTAGCAGACAAATTTACCGGGTAAATTTGTGAGTAGGCGGAGAGGGTTCCTGCGAGCCATGTGGGTGGCGCAGCACTTGTGTTTCTGCACAGCCTGGATTAATTGCTTTTGGCGGGGTGCTCTTGGGGTGAGATTTCTCTGCGGGCCACCAAAATTTTCTCACAGCCCACCAGTGGGCCATGGCCCACCAGTTGGCGATCACTGATCTAGACAGCATACTAAAAAGCAAAAACATCATCCTTCCAACAAAAGTGCACGTAGTCAAGGTTATGGTTTTCCCAGTTGCAATGTATGGCTGTGAAAGTTGGACCATAAGAAAGGCTGAGCACCAAAGAATTGAGGTCTTGAACTATGGTGCTGGAGAAGACTTCTGCAAGTCCCTTGGACTGCAAGGCGATCAAACTGGTCAGTCCTAGAGGAGATCAACCCTGACTTCTCTTTAGAAGGCCATATCTTGAAGATGAAACTCAAATACTTTGGCCACCTAATGAGAAGGGAAGAGGTCCTGGGAAAGAATGAGGGCAATAGAAGGAGACGACAGAGAACGAGGTGGCTGGATGGAGTCACTGAAGCAGTAGGCGTGAGCTTAAATGGACTCCAGAAAATGATAGAGGACAGGAAGGCCTGGAGGAACGTTGTCCGTGGGGTCACAATGGGTTGGACACGACTTCGCAACTAACAACAACAAAAAAAAAATATTGAGAGAATACATATGTACCTGTGATGAATTATATGTGTATTAAGCTGTTGATGTGTACAGGTAGTCTTCACTTTGTGAAGTACTGTTTATTCATTTAGCAACTGTTAATAGTTATGACCATGCTGAATGAGGAGACTTATAACTTTCTTCAAAATTGCAGCTTTCACAGAGTCCCCATGATCACTCAATTGTGATTCAACAGCTTGGCAACTGGCACCAATTGGGAAAGTTAAAGCAAGCTGGCTTCTGACAAACATTTGAGGAAGCCATCAGGAAGTTACAAGTTGTGGTCATGTAACATCATGTTTGATAATTGTGTGTGATTCACTTAATAATTGCAATAGAGACTGCTGGAGTTGCTGTTGTAAGGTCCTATCATTGTTTTGTTTTATAACTGTGTCAATTAGTGATGGAATTGCTGGTCCCAATTAACCATTATTAGGTAAGGATTCCCTGTACAGTGAATTGGCATCAGTCTTCTGACCTGATCACTAAGTGAGAAATACTGCTTTTCCCAAATGCTCTTCCACAAGCCTTCCTGCCATACCTTTAGTAGGACATTAATGCCGTTAGATGTCCTCCAGACATACTTTTCTGGAAAAAAAAAAACCTCATGTATACATTCACGGGGAAAAATATTCTAACATAAAATAGGATGGGAACATTTGTTCTTTATCATAAACTTTTCCTTCTCCAGGCTGTTTTGTTACATTCCCTATCTTATCACTCAGTCAGTTTATCTCTAGTCAGTTATTAACCTGGTGGGAAGGGAATTAATTATAAATGGCACAAAAATAAGCTTCCAGAGATGATAAAGATAAGTGTAAATGAATTTGTAAAATTTAAATAGGTTGGAAGGAAGAACACCCCTTCCTTTACAATATCAGTACCTCTTCCACTTTAAAAATGAAATGGTGGTTTTAAGATCCCACCCCGCAAGGTTTCTTGAACTTGATTTTATCCCAATGGTTCAGTAAATACTTTGGTTTAATATCCTAAAGACATCTCTTGTAGGGCTGGGGTGTTCCATTCTGTTTATGTGATAAGACTTGCGATGATATTTCAGAAAAATTTTGTAATCTTGTTTGTCAAGGCATGCAAGTCAGTCAGAAATATAAATTCTTGATTCCTTTTTTCCCCAGTTAATAACTGTCTGCAAGTAATCGCCAAAATAGAAGCAGAAATTATAGAGAAAAGCATCCAGAATATATATAATCAACAAGAAAATTGTTTTTAGAGCAATATTGTATAATAAAAACAAAAAATTCCTAAGTACCCCAAAGAAAACCTTATCATCAAACAGCAACAAAAATCCTATCCAATTGGTCTCAATTATCAATTTATCCCAAGGACTGGGAAAATAGCCAAAATAGTTTCCTGAACATTTTCAGAGTGAGAGCCCTCTCCCCCGCTTTTCGTTTTCCTCTCCTTCTCCCTTTCTCTCTCTCTCTCTCCCCCTCTCCTTCTCCGTGGGGATACTGTATACCATTTCCAGAGACAGGGACTGTGACAGAGCGGCCTGTTTCTTGGTCCACTTAGTTGATATTGCCAATTAATGGGACTCAAAGCACGGCCCTCTGCCTAATCTCATTAGCCCGAGAGATATACAATAATTGGAGATAAATAGTCCCTCAGGTAATCTGGTCTTAGGTCATGAAGAGCTTTAATGCCTTTGTAAGAGTTTGGGTTTTGATATTATTGTTTTGTTTATTATTGTGAGATGCCAAGAGCTTGCTATAAATTAGGAAGGAAGGAAGGGAGAGAAAGAAAAACATTATTTGGGAGCAAGTTGAACTCAACTCAATTTTAGGACAAAACCAACAAGCACAGATTTGGGTTGCTATTTTCTCTTGCATTTCCCTTATAGCTTAGTTGACCATAGAGAGCCACAGCCTCCTGAGCTGCCCCATACTTTTCCAGAACAAAAGATTTCCTGTCTCCTGTTAGGCTAACTGTACTGTACCATGCATGCAGCAAACAGCTGCAGCAAAGAAAAGGAAAAAAGAAACATATTGTCTATGGATTTTTCAGATTGTTCCTGGCGAGGGAGGAATGAAAGAAAAAAAAATGCAAAGCAGGAAACAGTAAGAAGTCTGTGAATTGCAAACAGTCACACAACAGGCATATAAGAGCAACCAGGGAAGTGTAACAAAAGCCTATGTCAAAACCTGAATTTCTTCAAATACAATTTCATAGGACCCATCAGATGTGCATGATTTTAAAGTACTTTAAACTTGTAGAGTAGGCAGGCATACCTGAACAAGGTTCATTTGTTTAGTAAAGTTCCGTTGTAGCCATAATGGCTCAGTGGTTAGTATGCAGTATTGCAGGCTAATTCTTCTGACTGCCAGCAGTTTTACAGTTCGATCCTGACTAGCTCAAGGTTGATTCAGGCTTCCATCCTTCCAAGGTCAGTAAAATGAGAACCCAGATTGGTGGGGGCAATATGCTGATTCTGTAAACAACTTAGAAAGGGCTGTAAAGCACTATGAAGTGTCTAAGCACTATATATGTCTAAGTGCTATGTCTTAAGTGCTATTATTTTTTTAACTTGCAATATCATTAAATGACAGCTTCTCTAATCTGGGGCTTCTTAGTTGTGCTTGAAATAATAGGTTTCTAGAGATCTGTGTGTCTCAATCTTTAAGCAAGCACCCTTTCAGAATGTAGCTAGGCCATAAGCTGCTTTTTTTTGTCCTTGTTCTAGTTGCAACAATACGGATTATTTTATTTATTTATATAACACATATATTTGCCTTGTTAAAGCAATTCAAGATGGCATGTGCACAATCCTCAATGCTTTAGAGCCTATGATTGATTGCGAGAAGAGGTGATGATTGCTTTAAATACAGATGTTTTCCAAATGTTCTCATCATGCAGTTTCCCAAAAAACCCTGAAAGAGGAGATAGAATCCATTCTGAGGGAGCACATTATGGTTTTGGATGGAGGCATGGGGACCATGATTCAGCAATATTCCTTAGGAGAAGAGGAATTTCGAGGTCAAGAATTTAAGGATCACCTGAAACCACTCAAGGGAAATAATGACCTGTTGAGCATAACTCAGCCTGATATCATCTACAAAATTCACAAGGTGAGTACAGGTTGTTCTATGAGTCTTGTACTAGAAAGGGTTTATTGATTCTTTTGACATGTATAACAACTCTTGAGAGCTACATTCATGTGCTCTACTTGGCTATTTTAAACTGTGTGAACTTAACTCCCAGAATTCTGGCTGGGGAATTCTGGGAGTTGAAGTCTAAACAGCTTAAAACTGCTGAGGTTGATAAATATTGGATAGAGCACAGTTATGGGCACTTTCCTCAGAAATGATTCTTGAGATGAGGGGCATATGAAGATGATTGCTGAGTATTGTTCAGTGAAAAAGGCAACAAAGAGTAAATTATAATGGATGGAACATTTTCACTAATTTGAATGGGACTGGATTATGCTCATATTTTGTTACTCTCACTTTTAAAAATACATTGATGAATTAATCCCTATTTTGTGATACTGTTCTATTATTTGCATCTATGATCCCCCAGAAGCCAATAAATGGCTGGAAAGCATTAAGAATATATACATTTTAGCTCAGGTTAAAAAGAAAAAGTGTAAGAAATATTAGAAAATGGGGATTTGGTGACAAGAGATTGGCTGTGATGATCTAGAATGGAGAAAGGCAAAGTGGAGGGGAGTTTTGAGGTATTTGGGTGTAGAAATTGACCAGATTTATATCCCACCTTTTATTTTGTACCTTCAAAGACAGCCTGCATAGAGTAATGCTCTTCCCTCCTATTTTCCCCATAATAACAGTCCATGAATATGGCATGAATTGGGCGGAGAGAGAGTGATTGCCCCTAGCTGATATTCATGCTTAAGGTGGGATTGGAATTTCCAATCTTTTTTTTTCTAGGCCACTATACCAAGTAGTATAAACACTATACCAAGTGGTTCCCAGTTTGGAATGCAGAGTTTTCATGTTATTTGGGGTTTCTTTATGCAGCATGAAAGTAAAGGTGCCCCTTGTTAACATTTTGACTCTGAGGCTTGACAACCTGTCCTCATTGTAATTCCCTGGTGCTTAAATGGTACTATCAAACAGGAATGGAAAGGAAATTTCTAAGAAGTTACTAGTGCTACAAAACTATTATCCAGGTCTGAGCCTTTAACATCCATGCATTGATAATATGTATCAGTGTTTTACTCCAGGATCTGTTTTTTGAAAACATTCGGTGCCTTCAGCTTTTGTGAATCACAGATACACAGATACACAAAAACACACAACATATTTACAGAAGTGACACTTGACACTTCAAGTTACACTTGAAAATATTGTTATTTTCTTAATTTTTTAAAAAGACTGGGTTACACTGAGAAATATATTCAGTCATCAGTCAATTTCACTGAAAATCTAAATTGGAAATTCTCCCTGGTAATGTTTGATTAAAATACAACAATCTGTAATTACCTTTGTCCTCATTTATTTTCTTTACTGCTGAGGGGAAAAAAATCCAAGAGTTTAAATTGAGACAGTCATATTGGAGCATCCAAATCTTAAATATAACTACATTTCTAGTACAGTATAACATGAATATGAAACAGGAATGGCTTCTTTTGCCACTTTCAGTTATAATTTAATTGTATAATATATTGTAGAGTTTCCTCTCCTGCTGTTCAAATAATAAAAAGACATAAGCTGAGTTTGCAATTGAGAGGATTTCTAAAGCTTTTCCTCTAATCTCAAAGATGAATAACAGAACTAAAAGTGATCAGTGAAAATGTCCCATTTTACACCTAATTACTTTACCTGCAATGGTAGACAAATTGTTAATTATATGTAATCTATTCAAGAAACTAGTAGACAGTGTTTTTTGCTCATTGATAATGTAACTTTGGGCTGTATTAGAGCAGCCATCTATTCAGTAGCCATTGACTACCAGTTCTGTTTTCTGACTGTTTAATAATTTAATTACAGATGAACTTTGTTTTACTTTGCTCTTCAGCTTACTAGATTTGAGTGTATAGGTATGTCTACAGATTTCAAACAGCATCTACCGTGTTTCCCCCAAAATAAGACCCAACAGGAAAATAAGCCTTAGCATAATTTTTCTGGATGCTCTTATATAAGCTCTACCCCCAAAATAAGCTCCAGTTAAGATTGTCAGCCAGACGGATACATTTAGTACCGTATTTCACAGAAAATGAGACTTAAGTAGAAAATAAGCCTTAATCTTTTGGAGCAAAAATTAATATAAGACCCTGGAAAATAATGGTAGAGGCAACTCAAAATTATTCTTTAATTTTCAAGTATGTCCCCAACAGTAGCACTATTTAGGACGATTCCTGAAGGAAATTAAACTTTGCTCTGTAGGCCTTCTCCAAATACTCTTGTTGCTTATTGTTATTTCAAGACTAATCATAAGAGCCTTTTTTCCTAATCCTCTTCCCTCTGGAGCTAGTACTCTGTTTAAAAACACTGGTACAGACCTCATTGAGTTAAAATTCATAGTAGGGAAGGTTAGATTATACGTTCTCAAAAAATATGTTCCTTTTTCAACAAGCCCTGCCTATTGTTCCACATTTCCCATTCTCAGTTACCTGAATTTCCAAGTTTCAGTTGGAAGTATGGGCTAATAGAGTATGAGTCCTGGTGGTCAGAATGCAGTATTCAAAGCTAACTCTTCCCACAGTGTAGAGTTCGATCCTGATTGGCTCAAGGTTGACTCAGCCTTCCATCCTGCCGAGTTTGGTAAAACAAGGACCCAGATTGTAGGAGGCAATATGCTGACTTTGTAAACTGCTCAGACAGTGCTGTAAAGCACTATGTATATGCTGTAAGTCTAAGTGCTATTGCTACTGCTATTCAATTGTTCTGTTCTGCTTACAGGAATACTTGCTTTCTGGTGCTGATATCATTGAGACAAATACTTTCAGCAGCACTAAAATAGCACAAGCTGACTACAGCCTTGAACATCTGGTGAGAGTTTTGGATTTCTTCCTTATCAAGTTTGGGTTTTCCTCTGATCAGCTTTGACCAGGCTGACTGGGTGGGAATCAAGGCAACTGAGACCAATGTGTCTAGATTGTACTAGATTGGGAAGGGAGGGATGCTATAAAGCAACTTAAATATTCATGGGAAAAATATATCTTTTGTGTAAGAAGTCCATTAGGTTTGTGATAGCATGGTTTTGATTTGTTTATTTTTGATAAAATGTGATTTAGTCTTGGAAATTAGGATTGGATGAACAGGAAATAACCCATAAGGATTAACTCTGTGGCAGTAATCCATCATTCATTCGCCACTCGTGTCCCATTTAATCATTTGCCAAAAGAGCCTCATTGCAAAAACAGCAGTGCTTTGCAAGGTAGACCTTGACTTTTGAGCCCCAGATTTCTGTTGTTAAGTGAGACATTTGTTAAGTGAATTTTGCCCCATTTTACGAGTTTGCTTGCCTCAGTTGTTAAGTGAAACACTGCATTTGATGCCCTGAGGCCAAGACATTCTGGATCAAAAGCAAAAACTGGCTACAGGAGATCACGGGTTATTAAATTGAACTCAGACCAGAAACTTTTCTCTTAGGAATTATTAAAGACCAACATCCAGAAAAAGTAAAATATTTAATATTATATATTTTAACAGCTGCCAGAATAGCTTTTGCACAAAATGTTTGAAAACTCCTAATACCCCTAGCAAAGAACTAGTACAGCAAAAAATAATAGTAAGCGTTGAAATGAATATGCTCACATTAAAATAGAAAGAAAAAGAAGACTCTGAATATTTTTTAATTTGGCACAAATGGTACAATTGGATAACAAATAGAAATAAGATGTGAAAATTAATTTGTAAGAGACCTCAAGAAAATCAATTGTAGATATGTAGAATATCTAAGAATATAATTATTGATACGGATATTAATTAGTGATTGACAAATGTATATGTAATGTATTAAGATTTATAAGATAAAAACTTTTATAGATGTCAAAAATGCTGTTGAAAATATGATGATTTGAGTTGTAATGATGGAAATACAATAAAAATATATTTTAAAAAAAGAAACACTGCATTTGATAAGTTAGTAACCGGATTGGTAAATGAATCAGGATTCCCCCATTGACTTTGCTTGTCAGAAGGTCACAAAAGGTGATCAAATGATTTGGGACACAGCCACAGTCATAAATATGAGCCAGTTCCCAAGTGGCTGAATGCTGATCACATGACCATGAGGATGCTGCAATGGTTGTAAGTGTGAAAAATGGTCATAAGTCACTTTATTCAGTGCTGTTGTAACTTTGAACAATCACTAAATGAACTGTTGTAAGTCGAGGACTACGAGTACTTCCAATTCATTACTGTAAATATTTGGTCTTTCCCACTATTGTTGATGCTTGTACAATGTTGCTTTGTAGTAGGTTTATGTAAATTAATCTTTAAAATGCCATTATCTGGGTGAGGACTTTTTAGACATTCAGTTTGAATGGTGAAGATCTTGTTTTGTTAAATCATTTTTCTTTGCCTTGAAAAAAAAGCAAACAGATGCCATATCGGCAGTGATAGATGTTTGCATCTTTGCAAGACTCTGCCACCTTTCATATCCTGTTGTCTGATCTGAATAGCAGACAAGGCATGAGTGTTTTTTTAATGAATCATCTCCAGAAGGCTGTTTTTAATCCTGTCTTGTGTTTTTCGCTGACATCATTTTCCAGATCCTTGAGATAAATACGTTTGTAACAGTGCTGTTTTGGAGGTGATGGTGAATTATAGAAGTGGTTCCGTGGAGAGGGGTTTTTCCATGGACTATAGGAGGCGTGGTTTCGCCTGTTGCCTGTATCCCGTGGATAGGATTTCGCTTATTTGCGCAGCCCGGTTTCTGGTATGCCATGGCCTGGTGCCAGTCCACGAACCGGGTATTGGGGACCCCTGTTAAATGTATAATCCATGGGTTTTCAAATTCTCGGCTTCTTCTAATGCGGCCAAGAAGCAGCTTTTTTTCCGCCTTCTATTTTCAAGTATCTTTGATTTGGCTTACTTATCCAACTATGTCAGAAATATGTATGTTGTAGAGCGGCGGAATAACCTGAGGCAAACTCGGAGCGAACTTCAGCTGTTACTTTATTGAAACAATAAAGGGTTGCCGTGGCTGCCGCGCTAACAAGGCAGCCAGCTGGCGGACAACAGCTGATGCCGTTTGACAGCTCCCTTTTATAGCCAGCTGTCAAACGGCATCAGCCAATAGGAACGGTCCGTGTTCCCACTGGAAACACGGACCGAGTGAAGACTTCGGCTTAGTCTATTGCGAACGCCACAATGTAAATCTCATTTTGGCTTAATGCAGTATGTAAACCCTTCTTTGCAGTGGTGAGATTCAACATTTTTTACTATTGGTTCTGTGGCCGTGGCTTGGTGGGCATGGCATGGTTTGGTGGCGTGGCTTGGTGGGCATGGCAGGGGAAGGATACTGTACGATCACCATTCCCTCCCCACTCCTGGGGAAGGTTACTGCAAAATCCCCATTCCCTCTCCACCCCGCTAACCTGCTTTCCAGCTCCATTCTCCTGTACTGGGCAACAAAAGAAGACCCAGTCGATCTGTTGGGACTCGGGAGACAGAGAATAGATGTGGGCGGGGCCAGTCAGAGGTGGTATTTGCCGGTTCTCCAAACTACTCAAAATTTCTGCTACCGGTTCTCCAGAACTGGTCAAAACCTGCTGAATACCGCCTCTGCTTCTTTGCCCATGTCCTGTCCTCACCCAACTTGATTCATTTCAGAAGTAGAAATTCCTAAGTATGTAAAAAAAAAATGTTTACAGTGAACTGGCATAATCTCTGTTACATTTCATTGTGGCTTCAGTGTGTTTTGGGCCTCAGATTAATTCTTGCCAGTTGGTCCTTTAGAAACAATCTGAAGATTGTTAAAGATAGGTGATAGTATTAGGAGCCTCTGTACAAGATCTTTTGACTGCAGAAGTATCATGGAGGGTTCAGTGCAATGAAAATGAAGATTAGTGCTTTTTTTGGTATCTATCTACCATTTACCCCCAATCTCTTATAGGCTTATCGGTTAAATAAAACATCAGCCCAGATAGCTCGAAAAGCAGCTGATGATGTTACTGCAGAGTCGGGTGAGTAACTTGACACGCTGATATGCATTTGTATCATGAGTTATCTAGGCTTGCAAATGTGGTTTTGGCTAAGGTTTAAGTCACCATCTTACAATTGTCCCTCAATGAAGAGTGAAAAACACATATAAGTCATTGGAGCAGTGTTACCTAATTTGTTGTCCATCTGGAATTTTGAGATACAATTACCTGAATTTTAGCAGTACTTTTTGATTTTTGTATTTTTACCAGTAACCATTTTAAGTAGTTCTTGATATTTTGAGTCTGCCTTTCTTTATTATTTTTATGCCAAGCTGAATGTTCTAAGGTCCAAGTTCTGATGGCTTTTAGTATTGTGGGAAACAATAAATGCAGTTTGTGGAGCAAAGCTGTAATATGATCATAAGATGGTTATTCTATTCTGGACCAATTGAAGCTCTTTAATGCCAGCTCCATGTAGAGAGCATTGCAGTAATCTACTCAGAAGGTGATCAAAGCATGAAGGAAGATGTGTAATTCTGCGCAACACAAAGTTGTGCAAAGGTCAGGGTGCTATCTGTTCTTCAAACAGGAGCTGTGAGTCTAGGAGAACTTCTCAATTGTTTATTGATCCTATGCAACCCTACCTAGCATTAAAGATGGCAAATCATCAACTCTAAAGCCACTCTCTCTTGCTAGATTAACCTGAAGTCTGTTCTTCCCCATTCAGACCCCCACATGTTTGCTATGAGTATAGAGCAGCGGTCCCCAACCTTTCCATCTTGGCAGCCCAATGGGGAGCAGAGGGAATGGTTTTGTGGGAGGGCATCTACCGTTTGTGCAAATGGAGCTTTGTGCCTGAGCCCAAGTACCATTGCTCACGCAAATGGAACTGCTCACCTGTCATTTGCGTGGTACGATTCCAAATGAGCCATGGTCTGGCTGTGGGCCATGGCCTGGGGATTGGGAACCTGTGGTGTAGTCCATAGAGATACATTGCTGCTATGAGAGAAAATCATACTAGAAATATTGACTTTGGCCAAAACCACCCTTAGTAATTTGGAATGGGAACAATATCAGAATCGGTGAAGTCTTAACACAAAGTAAGTAGGATCTCCATGTTTAAGTGTGAAGTCAACATTTTCTTTTATGTTTTTCCTGCCTTTGGGCTTTTCTTCTTAAAATGGTGACATTTGGGCTTTTTTTCTTAAAATGGTGCTAAGTTTGTTTTAGGATTATGCTGTTTTTTTCAAAGGCTTCCTATTGCAAAAATGGTAGGAAATCAAAAATTTGGCAGTACCATTTTAACAGCTAAAAGAAAACTCAGTGGCCATTTGTAATTCTGGGGTCACAGTTTGTCCATACCTATCTTTGGTGTTCACTTCAGGATTTTGTTCATTTATATCCTAAAACAATGGTCATTATTATTAATTAGTGTATGAAGATCAATAGAAGCAGACTTGTACACTCTACAAGATATTTTTTGGCAGAAAGGATCATAGAGCCTCGGTGGCGCAGTGGTTAGAGTGCAGAACTGCAAACTACTTCTGCTGACAGCCAGCTGCCTGCAATTTGGCAGATCGAATCCCACCCGGCTCAAAGTTGACTCAGCCTTCCATTCTTCTGAGGTGGGTAAAATGAGGACCCAGATTGTTGGGAGCAATATGCTGACTCTGTAAAACTGCTTAGAGAAGGCTGTAAAGCACTATAAAGTGGTATATAAGTTTAAGTGCTATTGCTATTGCTATCATCTAATCTCTGGAAGGGAGTCATGGTTTTTCATTACTACATATAAATGAAGACCATAAGATCGGATATAGTCTATTATTTTGCATTTCTTTGTCTTACAATCCAAAGCTTGTCATTTAAATATTATCCTTTTCTCCTTTGTTAAGGTAGTAAAAGATACGTTGCTGGGGCGATGGGCCCCACAAACAAGACCCTTTCTGTTTCCCCATCAGTGGAAAGTCCTGATTATCGGAATGTTAGTAAGTATTTCCATTGATAATCTTAAAACTGAAAATGATTATTAATTTGGCTTTATCTGCTTCTGTCAGTTTAGTTCTAATTGCAGTTCTGCCATATTGACTCAAAACATTCAATAGTTCTAAATATTTTCTCACTTTGAAATTTTATTTCATGTTTGGCTACAGTTAATAAGTTAATACTGATAAATTAAAAGAGCCTCAGGTTTTTTTTTAAATAGTTAAGCAAAAATTTAGTAATATCTGATAGCCCATCTGATGCTAGCAATCTCATGTATTACCTCAAACAATAAGGAATTACAATGCAGGTTTAATTAGAAGCTGAAATGGAAAAGTACAGTTTTCATTGTTGTAACTATTTGTTGCTCTGTTTTAGCTTTTGATGAATTGGTAGATGCCTACACTGAACAAGCCAAAGGTCTTTTAGATGGTGGGGCAGATATCATGCTGGTGGAAACCATATTTGATACAGCCAATGCTAAGGTGAGGTTTTAAGTAGAATCTTGGAAGTTTGTAATTATAATGCCCATTCCCAATAATATGTGAAAATGAAGTCATTGCATAGACTAATCAGGCTATGTTGGCAGATATCCTTTTATTTGCTATAAAATAAAAGGTTGGCTTTTTTTTAAGGGCAATTGAAAATTTGAGTACTGCTGCCCTATGGTTTATGACAGGGCTGTCAAACGTGCGGCCCACAGACCAGATGCGTCAAACGTTGGCCACGCCCATGCCTGGTTTAGCGAAGGGGGAAAAAGTCCCAATATGTCATGTGACACCATCGTGACAACACAAGTTTGACACCCCTGGTTTATAACATTCGCAATTCAGATTTGGAAATCTGTGTCAGGTGATTTTTAAAAATGTACTTTTCCCTTAAGTAAAGAGAAGTTTTCGAAATGAAACAAGAAAAAGGGACACAGTAATCTTTATCTGGAATTCTTGTACGAAGTCAAGATAGTATAGTGAAGCAAATAGAGCCAAACCTGAATCTTTAGTCTAGTTTGCCTAAGAGATAAAGTTTATAACATGGATCATTCCTTGACTTCTCTCTCTGAGCCTTGAAAATCTCTGTGAAGTTCATACTGCAGCCTGACTGAAGCTTTAATATGGGTTTAAAATAAAGTTTGCGAAATATTGCATTTTTAAAAAATGTGTACCAATGTTTTCCGCATTGTGCTCAGTTGAGGTGAGGTCTTATTAAGGCATCTTACCTGATTCAGTTTCTGTATGGACTCTCAGGGTCTATTTTGTAATAAATCCTGCAATAGATGACACAGGTCAGCATGTTTCTTGTGGTTACAAATGTCCAGCAGGCTCCACTGTGGTTTGCATACTTTTCTTGACTCTCCGTATGCATGCTTTGGAGCAGGGTTGAGCTATACACTTTCATTAGTAGTAATTTGTTCCCTTTCTCTTCCATATTTATGAAATGAGAATTTCCTAGAGTAAAGGATTAATTTACTGTGATATTTTCATTGGGCAGGCAGCTCTCTTTGCTCTCCAAAAGTTATTTGAAGAAGAATATGAACCAAGACCCTTGTTTGTGAGTATATTTTAATTAAACTTAGAATTATCCAGTTCTTCTGAAAAAGATTACATTTCCTTTTTTCTGCAGTAGTTAATATAATCAAGAACACTGTGTTTTGGAAACCTCAGATATTCTGTGTTAGCATGCTCTTTCCAATATGTGCTTTATAATCATATTATATGATAATAAATAAATGACCTGCCATACACAGCAGTCTGAAAATGTCCCCTCAATAATATAACCAGTGTGCCAAATAATAAGAATCTTGCCTGGCCTCCTAATTATTGTCCCTTGGAAGACGCCAACCTTGAATCCGAGTAATTTTCACACTAAGTTATGGCTTCATTAGCTGATAAAGCTGAATTGTGGGCTCAGCAACTGTAATACGTGGCATATTTTGTCTGTTTTACATGTTCAAAAATATGTTAATTCCTCCCCGGAGTCTCTGCATACTAAAAATACAAATAAATAATAATATTGCTCAGTGTGCAATTCTGTGCTCTAACTCAGAGGGTAGCTGCTGCTGAGTCTTGGAATGCCCTCTCTTCTCCCCACCTGCTGCCTTTATGTTTGCTGTTTTAAATGTGCTGAGGTTCAGCTGGGAACTTCAATAGCAGCTGAAAGCTTCCTAAATCTTATTGATAGTTTCCTGTTCCCCACTGCTCCATACAGATAGCAGGCAGCACCTCCTTCTGCCTAGAGCAGCCAGACTGCCTGGTACAAGAGTGGGTAGTTGGATGTTTTGATGAGATAGTTACATCCCATCTGTCCTTGACTGACCAATGTGCTGCTGGAGAGGATTGCAATAGAGCCCAATAAGTTGTCTTCTGCACCTTGTGACCTGAAGCTGGGAGATGATAATCCCAGCAGGGAACATCTGTCATTGACTAAAGGAAGGATATGTATTTAACACATATATTCTCCACAGGCTCTTGGCACTTGATCCCCCCAAATTATTTGGCTGACATGAGGGCATTTGTTGCACGGAAAGCAAGGAAAACCAATCATTTTGCTTTTATAAGCTTGTGGTATTTTTAGGGCACAATGGGTAGGCTGAATAGAGAAGAATTTGATATGTACAATAATTTAGAGGATAGTCTGTTGAACTGATATTGCTGCTACTTTTGGTTCTGCTATATGTTATTGTTTCCATAGAGACCTTAAGTGACTTTGTGTTGGTTTTTTTTTTTTTTGGTAGTGAACATATATACTGTATGCCAGATTAGAAATATAACCCTAATTAAAAAAGGCTTACAATGTTCAGAAGAAATGTCAAGCTTCATAAGGCAGAATAAAAGACAGATGGGAAGAACTTATTCTCATACTGCTATAGAAAATGGACTTTTTAATTAAAAAAAATCCCTATTTGAGCAAAATCATTAAAATTCGATTGGGTTTTAAGTATTGAATACAGATACAAAATTTATTCTGCTGTGCTTTCTGGGTAGAGTGGCCCTCTCCAGGCAGTTCCCCTTAAAGGGAACTGAAGCTTCAGCCCAGGGGGAACTGGGGTTTGTGGGTATTGTAGTCCCCCAATACACAGAAGGGATCTGGATATTGTGGTCCCCAAATGCATGGAAGGGATTTGACGAAAGATGGGATGTGGGAAAAAAGTCACTCATTTCCAACTGTGTGGCAAGTCGGATGTTTTCCACAGAAGCATTAAAGTTAAATTCACTTTAGCATCTATTATTGCACTGTTTTTAACATTGTTGCTTTGCCTTCCCCCCTACTCTTCTCCTTGTGGTCTACAGGTATCAGGAACCATTGTCGATAAAAGTGGCCGTACTCTTTCTGGGCAGACTGGGGAAGCATTTGTCATCAGCATATCTCACAGCCAGCCACTTTGGTGAGAAAACAGACACCCTGGATATGCTTTACAATAAGCGTTGCAATAGATTCTATAACCATTTTGCTAAAAGAGATTCCGCAAGGAGCTTGCAGTTGTTAATTGCTGCTGTTGCTCAGATTATCCACAGTCTAACACCACTGGCTGTTTTCAGAGAAATCATTAATTTCAAAGAATTCATTTCTCCATAGGAAAATGCAGATGATAACCTGGAGAAATCAAATCCTGCCAGGCCTCTCTCTTAGTATGGTTTCTTGACAGCTGGAAAGGGTGCTGACACACACACACACACACACACACACACACACACACACACATCAAATTGTCTCATAAGTGCTCAGGGTCAATATATCCATTTTCTATCCACTTGTGTAATCTTGATTTGCTTGCTCATTTTCTTCCCTACAGTTTGTGCATTGGATATGATTCCAAACAGACCTGCACTTTTCCTCCTCCAGTTTGTGCTTGAAGCTTGAAAACAGTTAATAAATACCGCCAAGCAGATGAGTACTTTAGGTTTATTAGCTGAAGAAATTAGAACAGCTGCTTTGTTTGTCCCTGGTTGACAAAATTTGTCACATCTGGCAAAGTTTGGAAATGCTTGACGTGAAGCTCTACTGCAGTTAATTCATCTCATTACACAGATGCAGTGCAGCAGTTACAGGCTGAAGTCAGTTCTGCTCTTCCTCTCTGTTTTTGTGTCTTGGGGAAATGACTGATCAAAAAGGAAAAAGCAAGAAGAAATAGAAAATCTGTAAAGGATGGTCAACAAATGAGGCTGGTAGGAAAAATAGATGAAATGCATCTATTGGGGCAAAGAACCTAAAGTGAAAAGGGAGCTCTGATTGGGAGTTAAAAAGTGTAAAAAGCTTATAAATCAGACATGACTTAACAGAATTAAATGGAAACAATTTGTTTATGGATTGATAAGGAAGGCATCTTTGGCCCTACTTTATACTGGCTACAGGTCTTGTTGAATTATGGGTAAGATAGATATCCTGGGGTGGGATTCTACCGGTTCGGGTTAACTGGTAGCTCTAAGGATCAGCTGGGAGCAAACAGGTTCGGTTTGCTCCAACCATCAGCTGTTGGGCCCACCCACCCGGGCCTTAGGCGGTGCTTTATATCCTGTTTTTCAAGTTCAGCTGATTCACATAGCACAGTGGATTGCTGCGCATCAGCTGTTAAACACACAGGGATTGCTGGAGAAGGTCAGTAGTAGCAAGTGCTCTGCACGCACTCAAAGCATGCGCTCGCCGAATGGGTTGTTACACCAGTTGAATTGCACCCTTGTATATATCTAATTTTATTTATACTATTTGAATGACTGGCAGCCATATACCCTTGCTATATTGCCTATTCTATCATTACATGCCTTTGTGAAGCAGTGCAGAGGTCATTGATCTTTTATACAATTAATTGGTGCCTGCCAATTTTATAATTATCCCAGTTTGTTTTGAAAATGTTAGCGACATAGATCATGTAGAAAAAAAAGTAAATGTGGAATCTATGCATATATTGAAGGATACATAATCAACTGCATACAAAAAAGGAGGCATCTCTGATCAAACAGCATGTTTCAAAAAATGCTGAAGTGAGCAGCAGAAGATTTGCAAGGTACAAAGCTAAACATCCAATTTTTCTGTAGATTTGAATACAGCTGTTTATAGATTCTGAATGAGAAAAAGTAACCACAACAAGTGAAGAGATTTGGACAGCTTTCTAACTATTACTTTGTAAAAGCTGGGTGGCATCCTTTGCAAGAACAAACAACTTTGTAATATTTCCTCTAGCCAGTTAAGAGTCTGTTCTTTCTTTTGAATGTGTTCCCTCATTTTTACTTGCAAAACTCTTCTAGCTCAGATTTGAAATACTCTTATATCCCCCTGGGTATGATTTCATGTTTGAGATTTCTCAGTACCGTTCAAGTCTGAGGTCAATGAACACTGTTGAAAAACCATTACCTTTTCTGTTATATATAGTTCATGGTTGATTGAAAGTATGTATCAGATTGTTGTCTTGCTAAAATCTGATCTCTTTTCAGCTTTAGGGTCTTTTTACCGACCATGGAATAATAATTTCTAGGATATATTGAATCTATTCTGCTATTCTTATTATACTCTTGGGCTGCTATAGATATCCAGTGCATATTAGCATGTTCCTTGTGTTTAACTATTTGTCTTGTTATTGTGACAGCTGTCCTAGGTAGATTATTGGTCAGGTGGTCCTTGCTTAACAACACCTGGGACTAGCAATTTCATTGCTAAGCAGCATGGTTGTTACGTGAGACATCACATAATCATGATGTGAGATTTTACTGTCAGCTTCTCCATCTTTGGAAGCAGGCTGTGAAGTGCGCAAATAGAAATCACATGACTGACAAAACACTACAATAGTCATTAAAAAGCTGTTGGTTGCAAATTGCCTGAATCTTGATCACCTGAGTGCCAGGACGTTCCTAATTACAACAACTGGTTGTAAAGTTACTTGTTCAGCACCATGGTAACTCTGAATGGTTGCAGCATAGGACAGTTCAGTGAAGACTAGCTGTTTGGTGGTATTTATACTGTGGATAATTTCTCTACAGCTAAGCTTCTCAGTAGGCTATTTGCAGTGAATTGTGAGTTCTTGTTTAGCAGAGCTCATACAACCTTCATTGCTGACTGAATCAAAGATTACTGCTTCTTAGCACAAATAATCTCTGCTTAATCAAAGATTGATTGAATCAAAGATTGCATAAACTTCCCCATGGATTATAAAAAATGTAAGAAATCTATGAGATAGCTTTAGTTTACAAACTATTAGGAGAGTGTCCATTGATAGGACTGTCAATTTAAACATTTTTTCAGAAGTTAATAGCGACTGTAATATTTTTAGAAGATGCAGTATTACAATGGAATACATCTCTTACCTTTTGCACTGCTGTGAGCAGAGAACTATTATGTATCAATAGGGCCACGGACCCCCCTTTTTTTTAATGAAAAACTTCACCAGCAGTCTTAACTGCAATCTCTCTGAATCTTCCTTCTGTAAGTAAGTTCTCTCAATAGCAGCCTGCTGAGAGATTGTTAAAGCTTAATCTGAACTGGAGGTGCAGGGAATCACTGCCTCATAAGAATTGAAGCCGTAAAAAAAGAAGAAGAAAAAAAAGAAAAGAACTGAAGCCGTAAATTCAATTTTACTTATTTTCACATGAGGGAAAGCTTTACTCTCATCTTTTCTTCAGGCATCCTAAAATCTCTGACCCTGCTTGTGCTTTTTATCATCAGAGAGGATTATTGCTTTCCTTTTGTTTTTATAGCATTTTAAAGAATCGTGCTCCTTGGTAAGGTGAAGGAGATGTTCTATATTATATCTATATTATTTTATTCTTTTTATTGTTTTATATGGCATTTTTATATTTTTGTAAGCCACCTTGAGTCACCATGTATGAGTAGGTGGCAATATAAAATTTCTGAATATGTAGGTAACTTCTCAGGTAGTCAAAATTAGTTTGTTGGAATAAATCGTATTTGATCATTTAGGGTAGCTCTTTCTCCAACTGACACTTCAATTCCCAGAATTCCAAGTAGTACTCATGCTGAGTGGGGAACTATGGGAGTTGACACCCCATCTTTGGAGGACTTCTAGGTAGAGACAGGTGGGCAAGGTATTTTCTTGTGAGGGGGCATATTTCTCCTGATCAGCTCCTTGAAGTAGCAGAGGAATTGCAGCTGCTCCGTTTTCTCTGGTAGAAGTGATAGTTGGGCATGTATAACCATGCCCAGAAAACCTCAGGAGGCCATTGAAACAACTACAGGGAGCCTTCAGTTGCAGTTGACATATGTGAATCCAAAGCTTGGTGGAGGCTTATCTTCTACAGGCTTGTTTTTGTTATTAGTTCAATGAGATTCTCACCTTTATTCCTGACTAGTTACTAAATTAGCTTTCTGCATGAAGCATCTCTGGCAACCCCAGCAAGCAGCTGCTGCCTAGGAAGCTAATCACTGATGACGTTAATCTTTCTTATTCTAACTACTTATTTAAAAGATTTATATGGCTGCCTTTCTTAAGCAACTTTTTCTAGCTTTGGAATTTGAAATGGCAAAATACAGTTGAATTGGGAAGTTTATACGAGATTTCACTCTCTGTCCCTGCTCTCCTCATGCGTCTTTGGTTTTAATGTTTGTTTTTACCTTTTTATATTTTAGCTTTTATGTAAATAAATAAATGATAGAGTTGACACTATTGGAAGATCTGTTATTTTCAGAATGTTCCCTATTTGAAATTGATTTTTTTACTAATCTACTATCTGCAGAAGTAGTAGCATTTGTATTATCTCCTACTGTATATTATTTTTGTATCACTCCTCTGAAAGGCACTCAAAGTGGTTTGTAGAAATAATTAGATTCCCATAAAGCAAATAATAAAGCAATGAGGTTGCAATAATTAATCAAAATATTTGGATACTGCAAAATTCCATCTGGTCCCAAAATATTCCCATTTATGTAAATCTCATCTAGATTCTTGAATTAGGTGTCACTGGTTTTAGTCCACACAATGCTTTTTACATACCATACTATGTATTTCTACACCTAGATCCCATTCCAGTAGAAAATCAATGGTTTACCACATTTATGCCTGAAGAAAAATTTGATCACAAGATGCTTAAATGGTAATGAGCAAGTGTCCTTTTGCTGGATGAGTTCAAAACAATCATCTGTTAGGGGTGCTTTAAACTGAATTTTTGCATAGACAAGGAGTTGGTCACATTTTCCTAAATGACTACTTCCAAATGTATGATTTTGTGATTAAAACAAACTTGGTTTTATTGGATTCTCTTTTATATTTGCAGCATTGGATTAAACTGTGCTTTGGGGGCAGTTGAAATGAGACCTTTCATTGAAGCAATAGGAAAATGTACAACTAGTTACATCATTTGTTATCCCAATGCAGGTATGCGTAGATCTGTCTGAATTCATCCCTTTCACAACAGTTGAAACAATAGGTGTTATGAAAGCATGTACCGGTGCCATTATCAGCATTAAATGAATTACTATGCTGAATAGCTTGTCAACCTGTCAGAGGTGAACCATTTTTGAAATTTGGTGTGAATGGACTTTCTTTGTTAGGTGCTTGTTTTTTCAAACAAATGTTTCATTGTTTGGTGTCTTACCATGTGACAGATGAGCAGTGACCATTAAAATTAAGTGGCTTTAGTCTATGGCAAAATGGGCATACTTAAATGAAGTCAGAGGCTTGAAATCGTAAATGTGGTATGCAGATCCTTCCAGTTTTAGATTTGTGGCCAAATGTTTTTCTTTGAGATAAAATTGTGAATAAACTTTTGACAAAACTAAATTGTTTCTTTTACGAAAAATGGTTTTTGCTTTGTCAACTTGTGCTAAGTTTGCTGTTACTTTACTATGAAGCAAAAACTTTCATAAGAGAGTTGCCTTCAGATAATTCAAATGTTTACAGGATTTTTGTTCAAAAATGTTACAGTGTTACATTTTCTTTCCATTTATAAATGTAAAAGATTTATAGAATTGAATGTATTTTTTAGGTCTTCCTAACACCTTTGGTGGTTATGATGAAACGCCTCAGGTGACTGGCAAGCACATTAAGGTAAGACTATTTTTTGGTGAGATTTTTTTATTATAGAAAAAATGATTTGTATGTTGCTGTGAGCTGTGTTCTTACAGAGTTCAGTTGTATAATAGTTTAATGGTAAAAGCTGTGGGCATCTGTTGGACAGTGTTGGGTTTCAGAATTGATTGTGTTTTAGACACCAGATTTTCTGAAGTTTCACTGGCAACTGAGGCTGGCATTTTCGGTTGCAAGATGGTCTGCATAGCAGATCACAGACACCTGAGCAGGAAGTGATCGATCTATAGCCAAGCTAGTTTCCAATTGATAGATGGTGAGGGCTGGTCTCTAATTGGTTCTTAGTTTGTGCCTGATCCTCATTGATTATTTTGGATATAATGGTTCCTGATTGGCCCTTTTTTCATTCTAGCTTCTGATTGTTCATTTTCTGATAACTGATTGCTTCCTAGTTCATGCCGAGTTCTGAGTGCTTACTCTAAGTGGCTGGTACTAACTGGGTGTACATCTAGGCAGCTTTCTGATTTGCCCATTTTTGGAAATTGATTTTTGGTTGGTTCTGCTTTTGCACAGGCTTGTATTGGTCATTTCCTCAATTGAATTGAAGCTGTGGGCAGAGTTTATCTTATTTGTTGGTTGTGGACCCTGTGATCTTGTTGTAGCCCAGGACAGATAACCAAGCTTTGCAAAAGAGTGAATTTCCTATGGCTTCAATTATGGACGAATCAACCTACTATAGTTATAAAGACAGAAGTAAGTCAGTCTTTGCTTCTAAAGATGCCAATTACTTCTGGAAAAGAAGTGCCAAACTGAAGATAGCTCTGTTGAGCGTGGAGATAATGACTTTGGCAGAATAAATAGCCACTAAATGTACGGATTCTTCACAGTTCCTCTTTAGACAAGGAGACGGCTTGGCATTGCCCACAAGTGCTCCAGATAGTTACTCCTTATGAGGAGATCACAAAACAGTGGCTTCTGGCAGTTTTAGAGTACTGGGAGATGAGAAAATGACTGCCCAAACCAGAGTTTGGCATCTTTCCAAATGACACTGAATTCACATACTTCATTTTCAGATCCCTTTTGGAAATTGCTTGTTAACTGCTTTTTAAATTCAGAACTGTTATATATTGGGTGAGTCGCTTTTAATCTTTAATGAAAGAAGTTTTGAATACACACTAAAAGGCTGATTGTTTAAACAGATTGTTAAAGCTTTGAAGAGTTTTCTGAGACCGGACAAAGAAAAAAATGAAATCAATTTCTAGGACATTAGTCGAAAGGACTAATTAAGATTATTAAAAATAAAAGAATGTAAAGTTGGTTTATTTGATCAAGGTTAAAATAGATCTGTTGGTATCTCTGGTAACCCTTAACCGACTTTTGCTGACTAGGTCTGAATCAACATCATTTGTTGTAATTTTCATTTTTTCCTTTCTTTTTCTTAGTCTGTATTAGCTTTCGTCTTTTTAATTGTAATGCCTAACAAAATTGCTACTAAAAATGAAGATGTCAGACCAGTTTCTGGCAACATGTCAAGAAATCTTCTGCTTATCTTACGGTTACTAAACCCTGAAGCTCAACACTGCCTAACAGTATAATAGTTACTTATGAGCTGACAGACATGCCTAGGATTATTGTGTGAGACCTTTAATGAGTAATCATACAAATCATAAATATGTCTACGGGATGGGTATCAAAAAATCAAGATGGTGGATGTAAATCATGTAATTGAAGCCCTGCCCCTTTTATGTACATTGCACTGCTGTAATAGGCACCATCTTGACTTTGGGATACTTTCCTCTCTCTTCCTTTGTAAATCTGCAAACTTGCTTCCCTTTTTCTAGATGTTCTGCAATTCTAAGATACTCTGGTGTTGATCAGAAAGAAATTGTGTAAGTTGTATCATTAGTAAGATTGTATCATATTCAGAAATTGATCAGTGCCCTAGGAGTTTCAAATGAGCCAGTCAATTTACTTTCAGTGGTTTATTGTGGGCTGTTTCTGAGTATCATCTGGAGGCAAACATGTAGAGCATTTAAAATAAGGAATAGGTTTATATGCAAGTATCTTCATCCAAGATGGAATATAAGCCTTCAATGGGGCTTTAAAAGAAATGGTACTGTACTTATTAGCCCCCCGTTGAGTTGTTGGTAATTAGCAAGGATATGTGTAAATAAAAATTCTAGCAAAGCTTTATGCATGCTTCAGATGTGACTGTGCTCTTAACCCATTGTGTCTAAAAATGCCTTTTTCTCTTCTCCAGGATCTTGCCTTAGATGGTTTGGTCAATATAGTTGGTGGTTGCTGTGGTACCACTCCAGCACATATCCGGTAATTTCATGTATATAATATTAGCATCATCATCTCTGAGGATAATGCCATGGATGATGGTTCAGTTTAGGATCTCTAATATCAATAGACACATTTTAGCTTGTGGAAAAATGACGAGCACACAGTTTTGTAGTTGTTACATTACAAAGATATTTGCATATCCCTGGTGAACTGTTTATGTGAGTGGCAGCTTAGTTTTCCCTTTTCCTCTCTGAAAATGACTTGAAGAAGGCCTTGCTGGTTGCTATGGCCAAAACCCATGTGAAGTTGTGCATGTCTGCAAGTTGTATTCCTGAGACATTTAACAGAAGAACCTGCTGGTGGTTGGTTGGTGGAACTGATACATTTCTTTGGCTAGGGTGTTTGATATTGACTTGTACCTCAAGATTGGACACCCATGTTGTTTAGAAATTATCATTAGCAATTTCTATAAGCCATTACTTATATGAGTTGTAGACGAAAATGCATAGAGGTATCAGTTTATCAGTCCTTGGTGTTTATATAACTAATGTTGACTTATGTGGTAGAATGAGGCATTGAAGTTTCTTCATGCCTTCTGGAGGACTTTGGGGGGATTTAGCGAGTGAGCATATTTGGAAATCTTAGAAGATGTTTTAGGGCTTTTCTTAGCTGTACACAAAATGACGACTATGGTGGATATAGCAAGACTCAAAACACCCAGTTACTAGAGAGCAATTTTGTGAATGTTGTCTGCCATTATCTTTATCTGTCTTGTAGATAGGTAAACCTTCAAACAAGAACTGAATTGAAGCTATTAGGATGCATAGTACATTCCATATTTTAAATGTATTGTTTTGAAAAAGCTATATTTAAAATACAGTCTTGACATTATTGTGGAAATATTTTTCTTTTGATTGCGAAACATTCCAAAATGACTGAAATAGCGTGTTCCAAATGTTAAACAATTCTTTTGAGTTCCAAGTTGGGCATTTTTATTTCAATTTATTTTGAAAGTGTTTTGTATGCCACTAGTCATCCCTCCAGTTCTGATTATGTCTGAAGGGATTTATGGAACAGAAGCATTCTTTTAAATGAAAATAATTCAGTAGACCAGTGGTTCTTATGATTTTTAAAACATAAAATATCTTTAGATCTAATCAGTTTTGTGACTGCTAAGAAAAACATTGCGGTGTATTTTCAATCCCATGAATGTTATGTTGCCTTCCTGTGATCTCTGGTCAAATCTAAGAAATAATGTACACTAGTCAGGTGAAAAAGAAACTTTAGGCTGTGATGATGAGTCTCAATAGCAACAAACTTCAAAAAAGTTTAACTCATTAGCTTAAGCTAGATATTTTTTACAGATTTCAAAGAAGCTGTGTGTCAATTGTGGAATCTGATGGTTTCTCAATGCATAAAAGCACTGCTGATTAAGTTAATTAAATATTTGTTTAACTACCTATTTTAGTGAATCTTTTCTGTAAACCTAGTATAAAATTAATTGGAGATCTGCTCTTTTTCATTTGTAATAGCAAGAGCTTAGTCATCTTCTCCTTGCAATAAAATGTGATGGAGCTGAATTTTAAAAGCCTTGTGACAGAATAGAAATATCACATTAAATATAGATAACCATCTGGGATAGAGAAGAAAAATGGATGGTTTGCAACTAAGAATAATTATGCTTTTATATATTCTGAGTTTCTGAATGTGTAGACTTCCCAGTGAATAGGTAATCCGATATAAAGAATTTGAGATCTATTTATTTCAACAAATCTTTTGGTGCCTCCATCTTGACAGAAATTGAACTAATGGCATCTCTGGAAAAATGTATTAATATGTTCAATGCAATTTCAGTACGAACAAAAGTGTAAAGACTTCAACTTTCTTTTTTAAAGGAGCAGATCAATGAGGACTGAAATGAGTGTCATTTGGGAAGGGAAAGCAGAAGAATACATTTATTTATTTGTTTGTTTCAAAGATTTTTAAGGCTGGCCCTCCCATGATTTGTGGCCTGGGTAGAATACAAAAAGAAAAATGGAAAGAAAATAAGCATAATGCAAAAACAAATTACAAAATCAGAAACCTGACTTTGGACCAGTCATTCTCTCCAGCCCAATTCACCTCACAGGGTTGTTGTGGGGAAAATAGGAATTGGAAGGAGTATTATGTATGTTCATCCCTTTAATTACTTATAAAATAGTAAGGGTGAAATAAAAAATTCTAATAAATAAGCAACACTTAATTGATGAAAATACCATACATCAAAACAGATTCGTTTGCCATTCTGGATCAGTTCATGGAAGAAAAACCAGGTATTTTGGTTCTGCAAAAGAATAATGGAAATGGGGCTATTCCAACTTTGGTGCGGGAGAATTCCAAATTGCTACTAGTGCCACCATATTCTGGACCATCCACAAGTTTAGATGGTCTTCCAAGTAGCCCATGTCCCATACATTATAGAAATCCAACTGAGATTTGACTTAAGATATGAATGATTGTGAAAAGGGTCACCCTGTCTAGAAATATATATAATTGACATATATCACAAAGTTGTGCAAAGATCCTTCCGAGAATAGCTATAGAGCCATGGTGGCACAGTGGTTAGAATGCAGCATTGCATTCTCTGCCCACAGCCTGAAGTTTGATCCCGACAGGGCTCAAGGTTGATTCAGCCATCCATCCTTCCAAGATTGGTAATAGGACCCAGATTGTTTGGGGGGAGGGGGGGTGCTGACATTGTAAACCACTCAGAGAGTGCTGTAAAGCACTGTGGAGTGGTATAGAAGTCTAAGTGCTATTGCTATAGCTGCCCCTAGATTACTGTATTGAAACCATAAGTCCAGGAGGACTTCCAAGTTACAAACCAGCTCCGTTACCATAGCCCTGAGGCTATGTATATGAAATATACATGCATACATATAGATACAGATATACATATACAAGTGCACATGTGTGTGCACACACATACACACACACACACAGTCTAGTATATGACACTTCATGTGTGCCAGGCCCACAATGATGTGGCCAGGCCTATGGTGGTTATGAACTCCCATGTTGCTTCCAATTTCGTACCTAAGAAAAACAGATTGAAGACTCACAAGAACATAATCCTGGGAAATTCCACTGCCAGCCCACCCACAACATCCAGCAGCTCAAATAGGGAAGTAGCTACCTAGTAGAGTGGTACAGTAACAACTGTTCCATCCAGTGGTGGTATTCTACTAGTTCGGCCTGGTTCAAGTGAGACAGTAGTAAAAAAAAACAGCTACCGGTTCGGATAAACTGGTATTTCTTTTCTTTTTCCTCCCGACAATCAGCTGTTCTGACAATCAGCTGTTCCGGGATTCAGGCCAGGAGGCAAAAAAAGAAAAAAGAAACAAAAACAAAAACAGAAGGGGTGGGGGGGAGTGCTGCAAAAAAAGCCACGCCCACCTAGCCATGCCCATAGAACCGGTGGTAAAAATATTTGCATCCCATCCCTGGTTCCATCTCATCCCTGAGGCCCAATCTCATGAACAGGATCTCACGTCTGGTTTTCTGCAGAGCAATATCCCTGAAAGCTATAATAATTTATCGGTTGACCAAGGCCATTCACTCACCCCTGCTATGGGATTACAGGTGATGTCACACCCCAAACCCAGGTTGGACTCATTTCTCATGACCCTAACAGCTTATAGTTTACTGCAGAAAGAGTGGACTGACCAGAACTGTAACCTTCTGCATTCCTTTAAATTAGAAAAAGAGATGCAAGTACGTTGCAACAGTTTGTTGACAATTCTGTATGCCTTTTTTTAATGATGAACTAACAAAATTTTAAATGAAAAAAAATACTCCAAATATAGTTGGTTACTAAGGGACCACATTTGTTTCTTTTATACCTGAATATAAATAAGTTTTCAGTATTTTGGAGTCCAAGGTAACACAATAGGAGGAACATGAGCCCATTGCTTCAGCTATCTTTGTCCCTCTATGCAGAATGAATCCCCTTCCAAAAGTGGGATCTGGTACAGGTTGATGTTCAATTGAACATTGATGTTCAAATAATTTAATTTCATTAAATCAGTGTATCAAGTGATCTGTTTTCCCAGGAGTAACCTCCTGAGGAATCTCCTTTTCCTCATCTTTTCAACGGTTCTAGGTAGATTCAGATGAGGGAGAGGAATGAGGAATTTCATTCCTTTTTGCCAAGCTTCTGGGCTCTTAACATATTGTTTTGTAATGCAGGAAGATAGCTGAAGAAGTAAAGGCATGCAAACCTCGTATTCCCCCTGCCTCTGTCTCTGAAGGCTACATGCTGCTGTCAGGTGAGATAATAACATATCCAGAATTCCTTAACTATGTTTTCTTAATTATATCTTAGGATTCTTTGTGACTGTTCTACTTTTTCCTCAAGATACTTACAAGCCATTGGAAACCCTCGTATAATACTTGTGTTAGGTTAAGCTATTAGGTGAAGTGGTTTTTTATTTTACAGCCTTTCAATCTACTTCGGAAAGCTCTTAGGGGGAATCTTCATTTTGCTGTACTTATTGGACACAAGGATGACAGAGCTTAGATGGCTGACCTAGTTTATAATAGCATTACAGGATGGCTGCTGGTGGAGAAGGCGAAAAACCAGCTCCCTGTGAGTCAGCCACAGCATCAGACAATGAGTGCCTGCAGACTTTAGTGCTTGCTAAGCATAAAGACTCCTGTGAAGAAATGGGGCCCGGAGGACACAAAGAGAAGCTTACAGAGAAATCACTTCTGGAATAGTCTTTATCAAGCCTCTATGAACAAACACCTCGACCTTCTGGGCTGCCTGGCCAGGACTTAGTTCATTGCCTAGGTAGAGAAAAGAGTTGGTTCTTCATGCAGCAAAGTCTTCCTCAGAGGAAAGGAAGGGGCCAGAGACTACAGATATTCTTCAATTTACAACCATTTGTTTAGTGACCAGAGTTACAGAGGACTGAAAAAGTGACTTTTGACCGTTTTTCACATTTAAGCCATTGCAGTATTCCTGTGGTAATATGATCAAAATTCAGATGCTTGGCAACTGGCTTCTACGATATTTATGATGGTTGCAGGGTCCCGGGGTCATGTGATCACATTTTACTACCTTCTGATAAGCAATGTCAATGGGGAAGACAGATTTACCTAACCATGTTACTAACTTAATGACTGTAGTGATCACTTAATGACTGTAGCAAGAAAGGTCGTAAAATGGGACAAAGCTCACTTTAAAAACTGTCTTGCTTAGCAACAGAAATGTTGAGTGTAAGTCAACCATCTGTACTGAATTGAGGAGTTGCTAATATGCTGACAGCTGAGGCTGGTAGGGATGCACGTGTGTGTACAAGAGAACAAGCCTCAAACTACTTCAGTCACATCCATTTGCTTCCTTGTTTAGATTCTTTACTTTGAGAGCTATTTTAATTTTTTTTTGTTTGGACTGCAAAATCTGTCTTTGTTGGCAACTCCTGGCCCTGAATGCTCAAGGGGCAGGGAAGAATAAAGAATAAATTCACCAGGTTTTCTATCAGTTGGTCTATTCTTTGCTTTCTGTTAGTCACAGAACCTCCTCACCTCTCTGTCCACAAGGGTTTCTACCACTCTGCTAAATTGCTAAGGCTCTTGCCCACCTCTGGTTGCATCTCCTTCAGTGGACACATATCCTTGCCTTTTGCATGACTGAATGCCTGATAATAAGATTCCCATAAATAATGTGGCCTGTGTTTTTGGTGGATAGAACTGATGCTATTACAAAACTTGTATAATTGTTATGACTGAGGTAATACATGACGATATCTTTTTGGCCACTTGATCACGTGCCTTATATTGAATCAGACATTGATCTCTTGATTCCAGTGTTGCTTATGCAAACTGGAAGAAGTGTGTTCTATCATGACTCCAAAAAAAAAAAAAGGCTTATTTCTGCACTCTGGGATTTGGGATCCTTGTTAGACAGAACTACTAAGGGCTGTACTTAAAATCTTCTACAGTCAAAAGAAGTGTTCCAACATTGATCAAATGCTTAGGACTGATCATTTTTATCAGTTTCCAATTTTTCATGTGCTCATAGTGATGGCTGTTGACATCTTAATTTTCCTTGGTTTCCTTTTCAAGTGTTGAGCATGACCTATATGAAGTTTTCTCTTTTAGAGTCAATGGAAAATGCCATATTGGCTTAAATTCTACTTGATGCTACTTTTGAACTGTTTCTCAGTTTTTCTGTGTTCTCAGGATCTGTGGGGGAAAGCATAATTAAATTTATGGTAGAGGACAAAGATTGAATTTATTCACAAAATATCCTTGCTAACTTTAAGTCTGAAATAGTGTCCCTCTAAATTATACTGAGCTCATTGGTAGAAGGGTACAGTACTAATAATTGTAGCTCTGGTATTGCAGTATTATGTGTGTGGGCACACACAAATAAACACACACTCAGCCCTTCTCCTGTTCCTCTTTTGATGTGATATTTATTTGCAGTTGCTTGTTTCCTCATCTCATTTGAGATTCCTGCATTGAGCATTTTTCTATAGTTTTCAAACATCAATTGTGAAGAAGACAAGTTTTCTGCTGCAGTCCATTTTTCTCTAGTGACAGAGAGGTGTCTGCCAGGTATTTTCTGCCACTGGGCCTGATCTGTGCTGCTGTTCTTGAGTTTTGATCAGCTCCTGGCCTAACGAAGATTCTCTATTTCAATATACGTGATTGGGATGAATTTATATCTTAGACTGCCCAATAAAAATGTATATAATGTAAAAATAATTATTTCCCATGTGCTTGTGTAAAGAGCCGGTTTGGTGTAATAGTTAAGGCACCAGTAAAAACCAGGAAACTGATTTCTAGTCTTGCCAAGGCAAATTGAATCACCTTGGGCCAGTCATACACTCTGAGCCATAGGAAGGACACATTGGCAAATCACTTCTGAAAAACCTTACAAAGGAAACTGCAGGAACCAGGCTAAATAAAGCATTTTTTCTTTTATGTATACTGAGAGCATTTGCACCAAGACAAATTCCTTGTGTGTCCAATCACACTCGGCCAATAAAGAATTCTATTTTATAAAGAATTCTATTGCATGCCAAAACAACCAGACAAAAAGCTAGTTTTTACCCTGTGCCATCACTCTACTGAACACTTAATTCCCACAGCACTGTCTCATTTCTCATTTTTCCTACTATCTTCTCCTATTGGTTTCTTATGATTTATCAATTGTTGTTTCTAACTTTTGATTAATGATTGCAACTATGATAATGACCTATTACTTATATGTGCACTGTGAGCTTATGCACCGAAAACAAATTCCTTCTTTGTCTGATCACACTTGGCCAATAAGGAATCCTATCCTACCCTGCCCTACCCTGCCCTAAAGAGTCAATACTGACACAAAGGCACCCAAACAATAACAACCTTCTTGAACCTACTTGTGTAATGATGAGTCTGAAGGGATAACATCTCATTCTTTTTTGTCATTTCCTTGTTCATTCATCCATTTGTTGTAAATCTGCTATAGAAACAATGTGCTGCAAAAATATTCCATCTAAAGCAGGTATGTTTTTATGCAGTTGCTGTTTATTTGAATTCTGTTCTATTTCTTTGCTGTATCATCACATTATATTGTTGCAAGGAGAGTTAAAGATCTTTTCCACTAGCCAGACTACATAGATCAGTAAGAAAGTTCTGTTAAACACACATATTTAAATAAGGGCATCATTTCATAAAATTAAAGGTTCCATGTAGATTAAGCAAATGGTATATTCTGGTTTTTCAGAGTATTCTTTTTCCCCTAAATAAAATTTATTTTCCAGGTCTGGAACCCTTCAGGATTGGAAAATACACCAACTTTGTCAACATTGGTGAACGTTGCAATGTTGCAGGGTCAAGAAGATTTGCCAAACTTATAATGGCAGGCAAATATGAAGTAGGTACAACTTTTTTTAAGCTTCAGGACTTGCATTAAAATTTAGTATAAGTATATTATTTAAGGATTTGAATGCATAGTTTCTACTTGGTACATTATATAAACATAGGTTTTTTTTGCTTTTTGTTTATAGTACAATGTGAAGCACAATCTTGAGCATTTATTTTGTAAAAGCGAGAGGTTCAAGCAGTTCTGAATAATGTGATGATGGCAGTCTCTAAAATATTTTACAAAATAAATGTAAATAAATAAACTCTGACACATTGTACAGAATAAAAAAGTAGGAACAGTGTTATGGGAAGACAGATATAATAAAAGCAGCTTGCTAAAAAATGCAGAAACAAATGCCATCAGTGTAAATACAAGAGAAAAAAAACAGCATTAGATGCATTTCTGTTAGAGCTGATGTCTTTTTTCCTTTAACATAGGAAGCCTTGAGTGTAGCCAAGGCCCAAGTTGAGATGGGAGCTCAGATCCTGGATATCAACATGGATGATGGAATGTTAGATGGTCCAAATGCTATGGCAAGATTCTGCAACTATATTTCTTCAGAGCCTGACATTGCCAAGGTTATATATTTAACTGCATAGTTTCTAGAGTCTGGTGTTTTCTACATGGCTTTGAACTACACAATATCTCAATACCTTAGCAGGTTGCCTGACTGAAAAAAATGGTAACAGGAAATGAAAAATCAGAAGAAATGCACCAGAAAGATTATTATATTTTTCTGATATTTAGACATCACACTTCTGACCTGGACTGGACTGCTATTGTGTTGGAAGCTTACATAAGTGTCAAGTATTTGGGCTACTAATTTATTGTCTCTTTGCCTGTCTAGATAGTTATGGTATGGTTAAAGCCTTTGTGGTGTCCTTCTTAAATAGTGTTGAGTTTTCATTTCAGAGGAAAATGTTGGCCTGATTCTTTTGCTCCCATAAGAATGTCCCTGGCTCTTGAAATCAATTCTTGATTGGATTTCCAAATCCATAAATAATACTAAATATCACAGATATCAGATGAGTAGTGTGTATATGTTGGCTACCTTCACAGCAGACATTATTTGGCAACCAGTCTGCATGCATTTGAATAGCAGTGCCTGACTTCATGTAAGACAGTTTTAATATTCAGAAGTATTTTGATTTAATGAAGAAGCATTTGGTTGAATCATGTACAGCCAAATGCTATAAAAGGAGTGAGAAGATCAATTCTGACATTTCATGAAATTTGGTCTCTGCAAATTTTAAGAGTACCAACTTCAGCTTTCAGATTACCCCAAACGACAAAAATTGGCTGCCTTATTATTCAGACAGCCTTGCGTCCTAGTGTTCTCACTGTCACTTTTGAGAGCACAGATTGTGAGGAGGAGCCAGAAGGGAAACTATCACCCAAAAGGGTTTTTCTTTTGATCTTCAGTCTGAAGTGAGATCACTAAGCCTTTGAAACTTGGCAGGAAACCCCTCTGCTTAGAATGTTTTGTTCAGCTTTAATTTTTGTACATCAATCTGAATGTCAGCCTTGGGCAAATATTGCTGTCAGGTCATAGAATCTTTTCCAAAGGATGTCATAATATGAAGAAAGCTCTTGAAATTAGTCTAGCCTTTGTGGTAAATGTAATTGCAAAGACAATTTGCTTTTTTTTTTTTTAACTTGCAAGACCTTTTCTCTCAGCCTTAGATATACATCTGCACAATTCAGATGTAGCTATTTATTGGCTTTGAAGATCATTATTTTTTTTAATGTTGGTCCTTTTTTATCCTCAGGTGCCCCTTTGCATTGATTCCTCAAACTTCTCTGTAATAGAAGCTGGGTTGAAGTGTTCACAAGGCAAATGCATAGTCAACAGCATCAGTCTGAAGGAAGGCGAAGAGGATTTCCTAAGAAAAGCAAGAACAATTAGGAGATATGGAGCAGCAGTGGTGATTATGGCCTTTGATGAAGTGGGGCAGGTTGGTGACACTTTCCTCACCCGCTAGAAACTGCTCAAAAGTTGCTCATAAGAACTTTTGTCCTATCTGTGTTCTGGTAAAAGGAATAGGAGATAATCTAAACGAAGTACAGGTAGTCCTTGACTTATGACCATTTCCTTAATGATGGTTCAAAGCTATGATAGCCTTGGAAAAAAGGACTTTACAAGCCATACTCACATTTATGACTGTTCCCCTCCCCCCGCAAAGGTCATGTGACTGCAATTTGTGCATTTGGCAACTGGCTGCAGTACCCTGCAATCATGTGATTACGATTTGCAACAGTTTTGTCAGTTTGTGGCAAATAATTCCATTGAGAAAGCCGGATTTCCTTAATGACCAGATGATTTACTTAACTGTGTTATTTACTTAATAACCACTATAAAATTGATTATAAACTTGGGTCTGGTCACGTGGTGACTTGACTTACGACTACAGTGACTTGCGATTGACATTCTGGTCCCGATTGTGGTCATAAGTTGAGGACTACCTGTAGGACAATATATGAGTTTGGGCAGTTAAACTGCAATGCTGAAATGTTCACTGAACTATCATCACAAGTAAAATAAAACATGAACTTACAAAGCATCATCACAAAGAATCATCCAAAGAATATAGAGCATAGAGTATATGTATAATAGTGTTGGAAAGGACCTTGGAGGTCTTCTAGTCTGACCCCCTGCTCAAGCAGGAGATTCTATACCATTTCAGATAGATGGTTGTCCAGGCTCTCTTTGAAAGCCTCCAGTGATGGAGCACCCACAACTTCTGAAGGCAAACTCTTGCACTCTCACTGCTAGGAAATTTCTACTTAGTTCTAAGTTGCTTCTCCTTGGTTAGTTCCCATCTATTGTTTCTCATCACAAAGCATTATTTATTTATTACTCTTATACTCTTATCTTGATTTAAGTGGCTCTGATTTGTGAATATGGCATTTCCAGCCATTTCCCTATGTGGTCATGATATGTTTACTTATATGCATTCCTTCAGCAAACAGCTTTCTTTTTAGCAAAAAAGCAGAGTATAAATCATACTAATCATATGCAACACTACGTGTGTAGAGGGTTTTCCAGTGATATCTTCAATTAACTGTTAATAGCATATCTGTCTCCTAGCTTAATGTCTCTACTGTTAACATTGGATAGGAAGTTTCTTACTAAAATTAATATATGGTGAAATACTTCAGGTCTAGCCTGCTTCAAGGTTAGCAAACTGGAATTTCAAGTCTCAGAGGCATCTTTTTTTTCTGAATTCCAATTGGTTGTGGACTGTGTTGTGTGCAAGATCACAGAGAGCTGTTCATACCAATTTTATTTTTTTATTTTTTTATTTATTTTGTCAAGCGATTATAAGATTACAGGTATAAGGATAGACATAGTTATGAATACATGAATAGGACAGGGATGGTAGGCACATTGGTGCGCTTATGCATGCCCCCTATAGACCTCTTAGGAAAGGGGTGAGGTCAATAGTAGATAGTCTAAGGTTAAAGTTTTTGGGGTTTGGGGAAGAACACAGAGTCAGGTAGAGTATTCCAGACATTGATCACTCTGTTGCTGAAGTCGTATTTCCTGCAATCAAGTTTGGTGCGGTTAACCTTGAGTTTGTATCTATTGTTTGCTCTTGTATTGTTATGGTTGAAGCTGAAGTATTCATTGACAGGTAGGACATTGCAATATATAATTTTATATACTATATTTAGATCAGACCGAAGGTGGCATAGTTCTAGGTTTTCTAGGTCTAGAATTTCAAGTCTGGTGACATAAGGAATTCTGCAACGGGTAGAGGAGTGGAGAACTCTTGAATCAGATACGTAATGCGGGTTCCAGACTGATGAGCTATATTGAAGTATTGGTCTAGCAAATGTTTTGTATGCCCTAGTTAGTAGTGTGATATTACCAGAGAAAAAGCAATGTAGGATTAGGTTAACAATTCTTAGTGCCTTTTTGGCTATGTAGTTATAGTGGGCTCTAGCATTTAGGTCATTAGAGATGAGTATTCCAAGAGTCCTTTACAGAGCTTGGATCATCAACAAGGTCTTGACTATTCAGCCTGTATTTTATTTTCTGATTTTTTTTTTGCCAATATGTAAGACAGAGCATTTATTTGTTGAGTTTTGAAGTTGCTATCTGTTTGACCATTTTGATATATAGTCGAAGTCTTTTTGAAGGGTAGCAGTATTGTCTGTGGTGTTGAATAGCTTTACATCATCAGCGAAGAGAACGCAGTTGCTCTTAATATGATCAGAGAGGTCATTTATGTAGAGTATGAAGAGAGTTGGTCCTACAACACTGCCTTGGGGGACACCATTGTTGACAGGTACAGAATTTGATAGGACGTTCCCAATTTTGACCATTTGTTGTCTGTTTGACAGGAATGCTTCTATCCAGTTATGCAGTTGTCCAGAGATACCATAAGATTTTAGTTTTTATTCTGTTTTTCCTCTAAGGCTTGAGATAAACATTAACATGAAATGTGCTGTACTTTAGTTTGTTTTTATAATTTTATAAAAAGTTTTTAAAAAGAAGATAAAAAACAAATGCAAATTAATAAAAAGTAAAGAAGAAAAAAGAAAAAGCTAAAAGTGCAGCAAAGGAAAAAAAAGTAAAAGAAAAATAGAAAAGAAAGAAAAAGTTACAAAGAAGTGGCATCTGATTTTCTTTACAGAATTTATAAGTAAAATTATACATTTGTCTGTGTAGTTACAACTTGACTCTTTTCTTTCTGTAATCTGTTTTGTTCATCAAATCCATAAGTCAGATGTTCATTTTTTCCTGCAAAAGGTATTTCCAGTCAGCAATAAACATAAATGTCTTTCCTATGATCAGACAAGTAAATTTGGCCATCTCAGCAAGTTCCATCATTCTCATCAACCAGCTGTGCCGTGCTTTTAATCCAAAGCTGAAAAAATGTTTCAGAATAAGGGTTGATGCACATACTTCACCTGCTGGTGATCCTTAAAGGAGCTGCATCTTTCCTGGGGTTCAGAAAAAAAAATATGTATATTTCAGTTAAGGAGGCACTGACAATGCTTCAACATGCATTCCAAAACACATTGTTGCATCCCTCCTTCACTTAAACTCTTTTGTGCAAGCCACTTCTTTAGTGAAGTGTCGACAAATGTGCCTGTGTTCACACCTGCATCTTTTTGGTTCTGGATCTGAAACTCAGTGCATTCTTCTACTTCAATTCTTCAATTAATTTCATAGGATCTAGATGATCCAGCTTTTCTGATACTGAACTTCGGCTGCTTTGGTTATGTTTTATGTTGCATGTATTAAAACAGACCTCAGTTCTTTGTAGTTAATTTGCTTAAAAGTTTTTTATTGGTCCTGCTTGTTAGCTAACACTGAAAAGGGGAAATTCAGTTGAGAGTGAGAGTGATTGGCTTGTACTGGAGCAGCAAACTTGGGTTTAGATCGGATTGATATGAGAATGTTATAAATTCTGCAGTATTCTGCAGTCTCATGATTCACAAGTGTTTCTTAATAAACAAATGAATAGAACTATTACTAAGAGCTGCTAACTTTGAATCCTAAATCGAAGAGCTTTGCTGAAACATAGGTTTATTGTAACAGACTAAGAAAAACCACATTAGAAACCTAGATACACAGAAACATGATACCACAGAAAAAAACTAACTACTGTTCTTTCATATTTTTGATTTTTCTTTTCAGGCCACAGAAACAAAAGACAAAATTTCAATCTGCACCAGAGCCTATGACCTTCTTGTGAACAAAATTGGCTTTAATCCATGTGATATAATTTTTGATCCCAACATTTTGACTATAGGTACTGGAATGGAGGAACATAATTTGTATGCAGTTAACTATATCAATGCAACTAAGACAATAAAAGTGAGTCTAGGAAGTTAGGGAGTGGGATTTGGGTTCTTTTTTTAAAAAAAAAAATATTTATTTTATTCTAAGCATTTGTCTACAGGCCTTTATAAGTAGTTGGGTGAGGTAAAAGCAGTGGCTTAAATGGAACTGTACAACCTTTTTATGCTGTACAATTTCATCAACTTTACTTCCAGTAGCAGCTTTATTATAAATTATATAGTTGTTTAAAAATAACTTGGGCCATTAACTGAATTGTATATATACTTAGAGTAATTAAATGGAGCAATATTTGCCAAAAATTGACAGTTTGGCCAAAAGACCTTTGATAACGTCATGAAGTTACTTCATTCAATTAATGTAAGTTCCATTACTGTCTGTGATTCTATTTTGAGTTTGTATGGTGAACAGGATATTTTTGAGATTTTATTTTTGCATATGTATGTGATAAATTACCACAGATATATGATAAAAACATTTTCTATTTTTGTCTGTATTATTTGAGGTTACAGCTCAATCTTTTTCTAATGTTAACAAAAGGGTAAAAGTAATATTAATATCATATACTCTGTATCTCTAAATTTACATATACCCCTTCAAACCAGATAGGTCAATATTATAGAAATGAGATATGATTTGCTCCAGGATTCTGGTTCAGAAGCTTTGAAAAAGTTTGTTAGAAATGAATTAACATATTGCCCATACGTAGATACAAGTGAAACTCAAAAAATTAGAATATTGCGTAAAATGGATTTATTTCAGTAATGCAACTTAAAAGGTGAAACTAATATATGAGATAGACTCATTAAATGCAAAGCAAGATAGTTCAAGCCGTGACTTGTCATAATTGAGATGATTATGGCTTACAGCTCATGAAAACCCCAAATCCACAATAGCAGAAAATTAGAATATTACATGCAATCAATAAAACAAGGATTGTACATAGAACAATATTGGACTTCTGAAAAGTATAAGCATGCATATGTACTCAATACTTGGTTTGAGCCCCTTTTGAGCAATTACTGCCTCAATGCGGCATGGCATGGAAGCTATCAGCCTGTGGCACTGCTGAGGTGTCATGGAAGACCAGGATGCTTCAATAGCGGCCTTCAGCTCTTCTGCATTGTTCGGTCTCATGTCTCTCATCTTTCTCTTGGCAATGCCACATAGATTCTCTATGGGGTTCAGATCAGGAGAGTTTGCTGGGCCAATCAAGCACAGTAATCCCACAGTCATTGAACCAGGTTTTGGTGCTTTTGGCAGGGTAGGCAGGTGCCAAGTCCTACTGGAAAATGAAGTCAGCATCCCCATAAAGCTTGTCTGCGGAAGGAAGCATGAAGTGCTTCAAAATCTCCTGGTAGATGGCTGCGTTGATCCTGGACTTAATGAAGCACAGTGGACCAACACTAGCAGTTGACATGGCTCCCCAAATCAACACAGACTGGAAACTTCACACTGGACTTCAAGCATCTTGCAGTGTGTGCCTCTCCATTCTTCCTCCAGACTCTGGGTCCTTGGTTTCCAAATGAGATGCAAAAGTTGCTCTCATCAGAAAAAAGGACAGGTCTGTTTTTCTTTAGCCCAGGTAAGATGCTTCTGATGTTGTTTGTTGTTCAGGAGTGGCTTGACAAGAGGAATACGACATTTGAAGCCCATGTCCAGGATCCGTCTGTGTGTGGTGGCTCTTGATGCACTGACTCCAGCCTCAGTCCACTCCTTGTGAAAGTCCCCAACACTTTTGAATGGCCCTTTCCTGACAATCCTCTCCAGGCTGGGGACATCCCTGCTGCTTGTGCACCTTTTCTTCCACACTTTCCCCTTCCACATAACTTTCTATTAATGTGCTTTGATACAGCACTTTGGGAACATCCATCTTCTTTTGCAATTACCTTTTGAGGCTTTCCCTCCTTATGAAGGGTGTCAGTGATGGTTTTCTGCACAACTATCAGATCAGCAGTCTTTCCCATGATTGTGATTCCTACTGAACCAGACTGAGAGACCATTTAAAGGCTCAGGAATCCTTTGCAGGTGTTATGGCTTGATTAGCTGATTAGAGTGGGACACTTTGAGCCTAGAAGATTGAACCTTTTCACAATATTCTAATTTTCTGAGATTGTGGATTTGCAGTTTTCATGAGCTGTAAGCCATAATCATCTCAATTATGACAAATCACAGCTTGAACTATCTTGCTTTGCATGTAATGAGTCTTTCTCATATATTAAGTTCACCTTTTAAGTTGCATTACTGAAATAAATGAACTTTTGCACGATATTTTAATTTTTCAAGTTTCACCTGTATAACACACAATGACTCTCCTTGTGTGAAAAGAATATCTGTGTTGCATAACTTCTTAGTATACATAATGTATAAGCTTCCCATTGTCTTCTATCATGTTTTCGGGAGATTGATAGCAACCAGTGAATCAATCTTCTCTGTTGCAGTTATGCAATGGTTAAGATACAACTTTGCTTGGGATGGGATTCAACCACAGCTCTCTGTCCAATTGTAGTAACGATTTCTTTGGGCTGGTCAGTTTCATACAGAAACACCTGGCACCAGTAAGATAGTTTTGGGGTAAAAAATTGTTTGTTTCCTAAAGAAACCAAATAAGAAATTAATGGAGTAATCTGTAAGACTCCTCAGCTCTAGTTCTGAATAGCGTTTAGACTTTTTCACAACAGAATGAAAATATTCAAAAAGGAAGCAAAAACAAAATTCCCGTGAATTTTTATTTTTTATGGTCATAGAAATATATGTGTGTGTATGATAAACCTATTTAAATATAGAACAGGCTGTGTCTTGAGATGAACATTTTTTCTGGTCAGAGATTTGTTCGTTATTTGTCATTTCCCTCCTGACAGTAACGTAAGTGGGAGTCAGATAATGTGTGTATTGCTCTTTTGTGCTGTTTTTCCATTGACCAGACAATGCTAACCATACTTGGTATCTGTTCTTTCTTTGTAACATTTCATTACCTTGCTGGAATGTCTGTTGTCAGGAAAATTTGCCTGGAGCCAGAATAAGTGGAGGCCTTTCCAATTTGTCTTTCTCCTTCCGAGGAATGGATGCTATTCGAGAAGCAATGCATGGCGTTTTCCTTTTCCATGCAATTAAGGTAATGTAATGGTTTGGGCAAAATAGTTTCTGATTGAAAAATACTGTTGTACAGTAAAAGAAGCTATAATATCCATTGGTTTGACCCCCACCCCCCTGTGTTTATTCTCAGCATGGAATGGACATGGGGATTGTGAATGCAGGAAATCTGCCAGTGTATGATGACATCCAAAAGGAACTTTTACAGTTGTGTGAAGATTTGATTTGGAATAAAGATCCAGATGCAACGGAAAAGCTTTTGCATTATGCTCAGGTTAAATTTTGCCTAAATTATTTTTAATATGCACTGCTTAATTTTTAAACATGGATGCTGAAAGCCTGAAGAATTGATTTGTGAAGTATTCTTAAGTGACTTGGTTTGTTTACATAGATGTAACCCCAAATGTCCCCTTACTTCCCCTTCTCCTTTAAAGCACTTTGTATCAAATCTTGCTGGGTTTGGATGATTCTGGAAATTTTTTTTTGCCTTTCCCAAAGAAAAACAAAATAGAATTGTAGTTTAGGAAAATAGATAGATAAACACATTTTTGCTTCAAGAGTATGAATTAGAATATACTGGGTTTTCTTTTATTTAATTATTAAAACAATGAAGGAAAAATAAGAGAAAATATAAACAAAAAAAACAGGACAATTACAGTTAATACAAAATATGGTGTTTGCTATAAATGTGCAAACAAGTGAGTTTTTTCTTAGTAAGATGCATGCTAATTTGCTATGTCCCAGAGTTGAGAATGCACAAATTCATGTCCAACTGTAACAACAGTGGTCCAATAATCTTTCTCCATGCCAACTTTAAAAGCCACAGCCTTCTGAATCTCCAGCTGTATATACTTGAGATAAACATCTGTAGGGAGATCTTAATCATGTTCTTTGCGTTGGGAACCTTAAATTGTCAGAATTTTTAATAAGGAGCAGCAAGTCACAAAGATGTGAGCAAAGATAGGCTTGGAATGTGGAACAGAAGTGTCTTTTTGGTGGGAGGATATTCATTTGTGGCCTATCTTACAGGTGTACAAAACCTGTTTTTTTTTTGTCCCTATATTGAAGCAGATTCAGGCATAGGGGGAGGTTGTTTCAAGAACAACCTCCCTTTATGCCTGAAGAGAAATGTTTTTGATCAGTGTGTGGTACCTGCTCTAACCTCTGTGGGTGAAACAGTGCACTAACCTCACAATTGATACAAAAGGATGCAAAGAGCCGTGGAAAGGTACATGGTCAGCATTACAAGACAAGATGGAAAGACTCACACATGGATTAGAGAATGAACGAAAATATACAATACCATCAAGAAAGTAAAAGAATTGAAATGGAAATGGGCTGGTCACATAATAAGAAGAACTGATGGCAGGTGGTCCAAGGCAGTCATAGAATGGATTCTGCTTGATAAAAAGCATCCACGAAAGAGACCTAAAACAAGATGGTTTGACGACATCAGCAAGTACTCCAGACCCAATTGGCAAAAGAAAGCTCAGGACTAATATAAGTTGGAAACATGTGGAAGAGACCTTCAGCCTGCAGTGGATGGCGATGATGAAGATGATTGAAGCAGACAGTATAGGTAGTCCTTGACTTTCAACTGTAATTGAGCCTGCAATTTTGTCATAAGTCGTGACAGCTTTAAAACAGGTCAACACTGTAACCACACCCAAATTTATGATCTTTTTTGCAGCAGTTAAGTGAACATGGTGGTCACTAAGTGAATGCAGCAGTCATTAAGCAAACCCATTGTTTGCTTTGATATGCTTTCTTTCTGGAAAGTATAAGTAAACACTAGTTTCTGAAGAAAATGATATAAATCATGGTCATGTGATCATGGGCTGCTATTAATGGTTGCAAATATGGGCCAGTTGATGAGACCCCCAAAATATGGTCATGGGACTATAGACAGGGACCCCTGATGTTGTAAGTCTTGTTTTTGGGAAGTGCGTCATAACTTCAAGCACTCACAAGCAGTCATTAAGCAACAGAAGTTGTAAGTTGTGGATTGCCTGTAGGTTTTGCTCTCATTCTACCAGGGAAATACTAGGGGAAAGAGCAATTTTGCCAATGTTACTATTTAAAATAACTAGCATTTGGAATCAGAATTTGTTGGTTGACATGTTCCATAAACCACAGTATAATACAAATAATAAAACATTTTAAGTGAAAGGAGGCTGAGATAGTATTGCACAGCAGAGTAGAAGGGGGTAGGCTATTCTATTAAACTGACGGGCACATTCCAGTTCAGAAGAGTGTTTTATTCATTAGCGATCCATTACGTGATACAACATAAACGATCACCAAGAGAGACTGTACTAAAGCCAAGTTAAGTGATTAGATTTTTAAAATAAATTGCTGCTAGACTGGCTGGGGATACATTTAAATTATATTACCAGGAATAAAAATCCAAAGCTCCATTTTTTTTTTGGCATTTTTATTCCTATTGACGGAATATTTATGTTATCCTGTTTTACCTTGTTTAGAAGCAGCAGCTTTCTGCAATCAATCAGCGGCCATTAAGTGTTCAGATGTGTAGAGTATTTTACGCATATGCCATGATTATGTAAGACCAGAAAGCACATGAAACAGGTTAGGTCAGATTTTCATTAGACATGAATTTTCTGGACACTAATCAATTTGATAATGGGGTAATTGCTTGTAGTCCAGACCACTCCCACATATACATTTTACCCACTTTCCACTGCTGTCCTGTGCAAGTAACTGTTTTATCTGTATTCAAGTGTGAGGTATAAGCAGATTGTGTCATAACATCAGACACCCATGCTAATCCTAAAGATCCAATGCAGCTCTGCACTGATCTGTAAGAAGCTTCTTCTATATCCGTGATGGTGAACCTATGGCATGCATGCCAGAGGTGGCATGCAGAGCCCTCTCTGGGGGCATGCACAGTGTCACCAGCTGCTCTTCTGGGCGTATACCGGCCAGCTGGTCTTTGGGTTTCCGGTGTTCTGGCTCATGCGAAGACCAGCTGGCCAGCACATGCATGCGCATCAGCCAGCTGCTCTTTGGGTTTTTGGCGCTTAGGCGTGCGCACATGCGTGTTTTCCGGTTTGGGCACTCAAGTGTCGAAAATGTTTGCCATCTCCGTTCTGTACAGATAAATATAAGAAGATGCCTCAACATGCCCTTGATTTTTTTAAGGGATCTTAATCATGCTGAGGTAAATAATCTTTCTACCCTGCCCTTGGCTTATTTTTTTTCAGCATTTCTGAGGCTAGAAGGTTATAATAAAGGCATAAAATAAAGGAAGTGGCTAAATATTCAGTCAAAAAATCTTTTTGGAGCTGAGGTGACACATTGAACATTCTGTTTATACAAAAACGGTATGTGTTTATTACTCAAGTGGCAGAACCTAATTCTGGCAAATAAAACATACAGTTTGGGTCCTCATGTCAACTATACAAAGTAGACTGCAACAGGAAACATAATTCCATAGGAAGATTAGAACAATACTTTATTGAGATGTTAGCCACATCTGAATAATACTTTGTTTCCCAGGAGTTGAGGTATGATTTAGCTCTCTTTGCTTTCATAGTAGTTCTTGCCTATTTCTCTGACTCTACACTTAACTTTAATAGAAGTGTAGACAGAATCTGAAATTTGGAATCAACAAAGAATCTGAAGAATCCTCTTTGACCCAGGTTTTCATTAAAGTTGTGTCTCTTTAATGGCCTCAATCAGTTCTCAAATTGTGATCTGGAATTTCTGGGCATCCCCAATATCCTTTCATGGGGTCCCTGAAATCAAATATTTTAAAATTTCTCCCTTTTAATTTCTAATGCAATACATATCAATAGATATAACACACATAGACTAAAGCTCTTTAGGAACCTCAGTCATTTTTAAGAATATGAAGGAGTCCTGAGACCCACATGTTTGAGAACCGCTGGCCTAAAGGACCTTCCAAACTCTGAGACAAGTCTGTCCTATCTGATCGGGAAAGAAACCTCTTATACATGGAGTAATAGACTAGACTTCTTCACTTAATAGGAAGATAGTTTCAATATATCAGTGATGGCGGGGCAAATTATTTCATTTTAACTTCTCTCATTCCAGACCCATGCTCAAGGAGGAAAAAAAGTCGTACAGACCGATGGATGGAGAAATGGATCTGTAGAAGAAAGACTGGAGTATGCCCTTGTTAAGGTACATTTGCCTGTTTGATGAGCTAAAATTGCCTCTTTGACTAGGTTTAATCCTAAGGGAAAAAGTTGCTGGACAGTACCATCCAAATCTGTTATGCTATCAGGGTTCAGCTTTCCAGAATTTGTTCTTTGATGAATTGAGAAATACAGTGTGCTTCCAATAGCCCATTTGGGATCTCAATTGGGAGAACTTCTCTTGAACAAAAATAAATGCCCATTCACATTTCTTATGTGAATAGATCTAAATGTGTAAATTTGTAACAAATTTAGTTCTAGAACAGAGTTCTTCAAGTTTGGCAACTTAAGATGGGTGGACCTCCACTCCCAGAATTCTGAACACATGGCCTGGCTGGATAATTCTGGGAGTGGAAATCTGCGCATCTTAAGGGCGCCAAGCTTGAAAAATGTTGTGAACTTTCTTCACAGGCTTCAATTTAGAACCCCCTTCAAAACATCAACACCTTATAATGAAAAATGGAGGTTCACCTGAGACAAGGCTGTAACAACTTCTTGCTACAGCTGGCTTGAAACCAGTTGCTGTTAATTGCACTTAGCACATGGGTGTCAAACTCGCAATGTCACGTTGCCATCATGTGACGTATCTCAACGTGTTTCCTCTTTGCGGAGCTGGGATGGGCGTGGCCTACGTGTGATGCATCAGGCCCACAGGCTGCCAGTTTGACACCCCTGACTTAGCAGATCAGAAGCTGCCAATATGAAAAGGGAGGTGTAATTTTGAATGCTTCAAGAACAGCCTGTCTATTTTAAAACTTAGAGATCCTTTTCGGAATACCCACACACAATTTTGGGAAGTGAGATAATGAGGAAGCCTTCTGCTGGTGAATGCTTTTCTTCTGTTCCTTTGCCAGACTCCTTCAAGATTCTTTTAAAAAGAGGTTGAAAACATTGTCTCATGCTTTCAACATGAATCGATATTACTTGCATGTTTTATTTCTCTTGTGTTTTTTTTACTTTAATCTGTAGGTTTACTTTTGAATTCAGCTCTTGGTATAATTAGCCTATTTTAACACCCTTGAATTACTACAGTCTCTTTTTAGTAGGTTGTTCTTGAGGGGCCCCGTTTTGTAAAATGCAATAGATAAATGATGCTTATTGTGGGAAGATATATACCACTTTAATGTACAGATGGTTGCTTTTTTTCCCAGGGCATTGAGAAATATGTGATTGAGGATACCGAAGAGGCTAGACAAAACAAAGAGAGGTATCCCAGACCCCTGAATATAATTGAGGGGCCCCTGATGAATGGCATGAAAATAGTTGGTGATCTTTTTGGAGCTGGCAAGATGTTTCTTCCTCAGGTAAAGAAGAAATTTCCATTAGCCTATCACAATTTAGCTGTGTAATTACACATTACACCAATGCTTTCTTTGGCTTGAGGGAGGATCAATGTCTGGTTCTTAGCACTTCAGGATATTGTAGTAGAATATAGGAGATTGCCTTATACCAAGCCAAACAGTTTGTCCATTTTCCCTCGTACAGTTTACTCTCATAGGCAGCAACTTTCTAGAGGCAGTAGTGGCTTACACCGAAACATACACATTTCCATATCCCAAGTTTCATTAGTTAAGTGTAATGGGAAAGACATTCTGTACACAGAAATAATTTTGACCCCAAGAAATTAGTTCACGTTTCAGAAATGAAGAGGCTCACAGTCCTTTCACTGAAATATCTAGTTTCCTTTAATTGAGAACTGGGAGTGGGAATAAATAATATGGCTGGTCCTGTTAAACAATTGAGAATTGGAAACCCTTGCTATATCCATGTACTGTAGTTTTCTTTGTAGCAATATGCAGTGGCTAGTCTATAGCCCTTAAAATTCCTAATAGTTTCCATCTTTTCTTTCTTTTCTTTCTTTCTTTTGCTTATTTGTGTATGTATTGTGACTGGTTTTAATTGTAAAAATTAATAAACTATATTTTTTTTTAAAAAAATTCCTAATAGTTTCCCATCAGGTACAAATTACATTCAACCCTGCTTAACCTACGCAACTAGGATTTCCCCTAGTGGCAGATTTAGCTTATAAGTTCTCAGATTTCCTCACATTTTAGTACTGTGTCTGATCCTGAATAGTCTTATTTCTCAAACTGCCTGGGCATCACCTGCGGCAAATGACCCTTTAGTAGTAAAGATGAGATGATTTAATATGGGACCTCATGTATGAAAGCATGTGCTCTAATACTAGAGATACCCTGTACCTTAAAATGGGTATTACTTTATTTTCATTCCTGCTAGTGACTGTTGCTGAACTTCATTCAGTTGTAAAGATGAGTTTCTGGATTAGTGGCTTATTGGATATAAATATCTTCTATTATTCCCATGTATGCCAGCAGATAAAACTGTATTTTACCCCATAGGTTAGTTTAGTCTCCTTTTTTATTTGTTCCCATTTGATTGGCAATATGTTCACAATCTGTCTGTTTCTTTTCATGTGTTAGCTTTTAGTTTTAATAGTAAGGTTTAATGTTTGGCTTTCTCCAAATTGGTCTTTTATACACATTGCAATGCAGGCAGGCACAGCTTTACAGATGTGGGCTGAAACTGCAGCATGGCTCACTTTATTTAAATAAGCAATGAATAGTCTTGGAGAACTGCAAGTGTTAGTGTCCTTTGTTTGACTAGCAAGTCACTGTAACAATAAATCCACTGGGATAGGTTTGTGGTAGATTTGTGACACCATATTAAAAGGTTAAATATATTAATATTAAAGTACATTAAAAGGTGCATATCCCTCTCCCACTCCCACTCTCTCCCAAGAGCAGCTGTGGGTCTCTCTGATCACTGTATGCTTCATCTCGTCCCCGCCTATAGACAGAAACTTAAAACCACAAAACCTGTGGTCAAGACAGCGAAGTCTTGGACTGAGGAGGCAAAATGCGTTACTATCATCTCAGTTCCCAAGAAATCCTCCATCAGGGAACTGAATGACTTCAGACCAGTCACTTTGACATCTCTGGTTATGAAGAACTTTGAGAGGCCAGTGTTGGCCCACTTGAAAATCATCGTGGATCCGCTGTTAGTTCCCTTGCAGTTTGCCTACTGTGCAAATACATTGGTGGATGGTGGTCAATTGTGGTCAATATGGTACTGCACTATATCTTGCAACTTCTTAATCCCCAGTGACCTATGCATGGGTCCTTTTTGTTGACTTCAGCTCAGCTTTCAATACCATCATTTTAGAAACACTAAACTGATTCAGTTAGCTATGCCTGTCCATGCTTGTAGGCGGATTACTAATTTTTTGACAGATAGGAAACAATAGATGAAGCTAGGGAAAATCACATTGAGCGCCTAACAATTAGCACAGGTGCCCCTCAGGGCTGCGTGCTCTCTCCATTGCTCTTGTCTCTCTATACCAATGACTGCATCTCTAAGGATCCTTCTGTTGAAGTAGTGAAATTTGCAGATAATACAACAGTCATTGGTCTCATCCAAGGAGGTGATGAGTGCATATATAGACTGAAGGTTGAATAACTGGCCCTGTGGTGCAGCCGGAACAAACTGGAGATGAGCAAACTTAAAACTATAAAGATAAGAGTGGATTTTAGGAAGAGTCCTTCTATCACCTCTTACTATATGTTAGAACTTCACTTGAATAGAACTAATTTACCATGGAGGCAAATAGTCTCCTTTCTCTTTTCTTATGAGTAATTAAAACTGTAGAGATGAGAGTGGATTTTAGGAAGGACCTTCAATTGTACCACCTCTTACTATATTTGACAGCACAGTATCAGCAATGGAATCAGAGGTGGTATTCAGCAGGTTCTGACCAGTTCTGGAGAACCAGTAGCGGAAATTTTGAGTAGTTCGGAGAACCGGCAAACACCACCTCTGACTGGAGATTTTATAGTATCCTTCCCCTGCCATGCCCACAGAACCGGTAGTAAATTTTTTTGAATCCCACCACTGAATGAAATCCTTCAAGTTTTTGGGTTGTATAATCTCCTAGGATTTGAAATGGACATCTAACTGTACAACCAAGCATAATTAAGAATGTTCTTCCTGCATCAATTCAGGAAGTTCAGACTGTCCCAGGAACTGTTGATATAGCTTTAAAGAGGAATGATTGGGTCTGTCATTTGTACTTCTATATCTGTCCAGTTTGGCACAGCAACTAAGAGAAGAGGTACAGACTCCAACGGATAGTTAGGATTGCAGAAAAGCAGTTGCAACCAGACTGCCTTCCATAGAAGACCAGTATATTGCGTGGATCAGAAGAACTGAGAAGATAATTACACATCCTGGACGTAATCTGTTTCAACTCCTCCCTTTGGGATGCTGCTATAGGGAATTACATGCCCAAACAACTAGACACAGGGGCAGTTTTTTCCCCGTGTGCCACCACTCTGCTGAACACCTAATTCTCACAGTACTGTCTTATGTCTAAATATATTCACCCATGTTGTATGGCTGTAATAGTATTATTATCCTCTCCTCTGCTAACCCATTATTGGTGTCATTATTGTGATTACTATTATTATTCCCTTGTTGCTTTGCATGTACACTGAGAGCTTCTGTACCAAAGACAAATTCTTTGTGTATCTAATCACATTTGGCCAAATAAAAGTATTTTATATGAATGCGTGCCTTGGATGCATTTCTCTAAAATGGAAGAAAATGGAGAAACTGGTAAAGGAGTTGCTTAGAAGTTACTGGGTTACTTATTTGGTATTTATTGGTAATTTTCTGTTTTGGGGGCCTGGTATGGTTTGCTTTCAGATTAATTCATTAATTGTTATAATCTTGAATAAACTTTTGAACACTCTCATGGGTCTTTTTCTGAATCTGAATATACAGGTGATTAAATCTGCTAGAGTTATGAAGAAAGCAGTGGGTCATCTTATCCCATTTATGGAGAAGGAAAGAGAAGAATTACGTGCGTTATCTGGTAGCACAGAAGAAGATGTGAGTTTGCAGCTACAGTCTTTGATTCTCTTAAATTAATTTTGGTTGCAGTTGTATTATAGATTTTTGTGTAGGTCAGGAATTCATGGCACGTCATGGCAGCAACTTCTGCAATAAATAGATCCTCTTACATGAGCTCTCAGTCACAGAAATGGGCAGCTGATCGGAAAACATAAAGTTGTCCATTTGATATTTTGCCAGTAAAACAAACAGCAATAGTATGCTATATAAGGATCCATAGTCATAAACTTGGCACTTAATTGAATGAATGTTCAACAGGCAAAAAAATAACAATGGTAACAAAAACAGTTTTTGCCTCTCTCTGTTGAGCTATATTTGTCTCTACCTCATCATTTTCAGTGATAAGAATTTTCCACTGATGTGGTCTACTTCCATTGCTAGCTTTGTTTCTGTGCCCCTTCTTCCCATTGGGTAGTTCTCCCCTTCATTTTACAAGCTAATTTTTGGGATTGCCTATCTGTACAATCTCATACAGCAGAGGTGTCAAGCTCGGGTTGTCACGGTGGTGTCACGTGACGTATCAGGGCTTTTTTCCTTTTCACTAAACCAGGCGTGATGCACCTGGCCCATGGGCAGGGAGTTTGACAGTCCTGTCCTATAGGCTCACTTCAAAATATTGTTTCCGAGCAAAAAGCTATGGAGCAAAGAGGTTCTAGTTGTTACTAGAGAGTCCCAATTAATCAGCAGGGAAGAGATTGATGAATCAGACCTTTTAGAACTGATGTCACTAAATGCATTAGTAAGTTGAGTAAGTATTATTCTCTTTATCGGCATTTTTCTTTTTAAAAATTGCACTGTTCTTGTTTTAAAAGCATTTCGTGATTTGATGTACTGTATAATACAATGCAGTTTTGAACTTGAAAAATTGATTCTGGAGAAATGCAAATTAGTTTGGGAGGTGTGAATCAGATTGGCTCACTTCCAAAGGCAGAGAAAACAAAATCCTTGGACTTCCATGCTCTGCAGCCTCTTGTCTTAGGAAGCATCTGTCAAGCTAATGTGTAGTTGCTCATTGGAAGCAATCATGAGGCTGGAAAAAACCTGATGCTTTGTGCTGTAGCAGATTTCTTTCATTCCTAATAGGCATGAAAAAATGAAATAACAGCAGTTGTTCTTGTAGTTCAAATTGTTGCGAGGGCTGGGTTGATTTAAGAACAAATTGTGAATTTTATGCTGTCTTTGGCATTTGGGAGTGAAATGAGGTAAAGCAAAATGCTGAGTGAAAAACACAACAATCCAGAAGCTTACTAGCTTTAAGATGTATTTATTTAGCAGCCACATGTTTACTTAAAAAGGGGAAAGTGTGTTGTGAATCAGTATGGAATTAGGCCAGTCCTGTATTATTACTCGCTAATAGTTAGTATGTGCTACACTCTTTTGGAAATGCTAAATGCTGCTATTCTCGTGTGTGTGGGAATCTGCTGGCCTCTGAATATGAATTTTATCATTGGAATGTTTGCTGCTGTCCTATCTCAAAATGAGGTGCATATCTCCTGGCATAGAAGCTCTCCCGAGTGCCGTTACCTCCCAGAATACTCGCTGTAGCGCCAGAAGAACAGCAAATATAGAGCACTGGTTATTATCTTTCAGAATGCATGGCTTTGCTGCAGGCTTGTGCAGGACTGAAGAGGAAAGCTATTTAGTCCTGTTCCCAGTTAGTTTGCTTCAAACCATTTAATGTTAGAAATCATCTTGTTTTTATCCTGAAGATGTCTTAAGAATAAATATATGCACTGGTCCACAGTGCAGCCTAGCCCGGACTTAGCCCATTCCCATCAGTTTTAGGATTCCCCTAGCAATTAGGCCTGTGATTATTGTTTGACCATTCCACCGTGACTTATTTTCCCTGGCTTGATTAAATGAGCATGCCCTTCACCTCCAGTCACGCAGGCTTTCATGAGTATAATGCATAATTATGCTGAACCTTGATATATTCTGGATGTTCATTTCCCCCAAATTCTGCTACATTTTAAGTCAGAAAAAGTTAAGCATGATAGTAACATAGAAACCCTCAGGCATCAAAGCTTTTGTTTACATTAATGATGGATAATAACAAGGGGTATTAAAGTGGACAGAAAAGGTAAGGGCAGGTTACAGCTTCAAAGGGCAGCCAGGACTGAAGTCTTAATATTATTTTTATGTTTATGTATTATATGCAACAGCTATTTAAAAGGAGCAGAGCTTTGAGAGCCTGGTTATGCATGCCTGCTGCATGCTGTTGATTTCTCCCCCTGCAAGTTACATATATGGATTACATACCTGTTTGTTTGGAAAATTAGCTATGCTGTAATCAGGATAAATATTTGGGGGGGAGGGGGTGTACGGCCTTAAAGACCCAGAGTTATACAGACATGGTGATTTTTTCCATGAATCTCTTCCCAGAATCCCCTACCTGTTTGAACACAAGGGCCTCATTTGAGAAAAATATGCCAACATTAGCAAAATATGGTATGCTAAAAGAAGCAAAGATTTATGTGTGTGCCTCTGTTTCCCTTTTAAAACAGCACTTACTGTTTTTCATGAATAAGAAAAAACAAATTTAAAAACATGGATATACCACTATCATATACAAATTAATGAAATGCTTTTGGCTTGAAGAAATTAATGTGTAAACATTGATACGAAAGTATTCATTGAAGAAATCGGTAGAGGATCTTAGAAGTAGGGGCTTCAGGAGGGAAAATGCTAAGGCTGCTTGCTTCCATTATGGCTAAGAATTTAGGGAGTTGAAGTTCCAGTATATTTGGAAAGCACCAGGTTAGACAAGGCAGTGCTACAATGTTCTGATCTACTTCTTTTTATTAAATAGTCATTTGTGCTGCTGATAGATCCCTGTTTACAAATAGTTCCTTTACTGAAGCCATGAGGAATGTTCTGTTATGTTGACAAAAGTAATTTTTAAAAGACTCTTGTGTTTTGTATTCAGAAAGGCTGACTTCCACAGGGATAATATTGTTAAGTGTTATTCTCATAAGGATCAAATTAATGGATTGACGAAATAACTGTATCTTTCACTTTGTGGTCTGTTGAGTTGCAGCAAACTGCCTAGGATGCAAGGTGATTCCTTGCTAGGAGAAAGATCTTTTGAAATATATTTATATATGATTCTCTTAGTTCTCATTTCTGTCTTAATCAATGGCAATTAGGCTGAGACATAATGACAAACCTTATGATTAGTGAGCATTCAGTCCAAAATTTTCAAGTTACTCAGTCTGTAGTTGACAATCTACTATTCTTACGATGGTTTGCACTATAATTTTACAGTCTATCATATATTGTGATTGAAATGGTGAGAGTCAGTCATAAACCAAAACAGGTGGCATACAGTTTGTTTACATCTTCTCTAACTACTAATCCTTATCCCTACAGGATCCTTATCAAGGAACTATTGTGTTAGCTACTGTGAAAGGTGATGTCCATGATATCGGCAAGAACATTGTAGGAGTAGTTTTGGGCTGCAATAATTTCAGGTAATGAGACTTGATCTTTTGAACTTGCACATACCTCATTATACTGTAATTACTTGACAGGCTAGAAATGTCTCCTGCAAGTGGGACATTTAATGATTTGACTAAAGTGCTAGCTTTCTGAGGGCAGCTTAGATTGTTTTAATCAATATTTATTAGATCTATTTATTTTCATCATTTAAAAAGTACCAACTCTAAAAAACAGGTGGTATATATAAAGGTTATCTGTTTACACAGCAAAAGTTTTAGTAAAGACTGACATAGTTTGGCCAGCAGACCTGGATAGCCCAGGGTGATATGGAGTGGTTTGTCTGATCATTGCTATTGGGAGGGTGGGGGACAGTGAGGGTTTGTTGGGTTTTGTATTGGGGTTTTATTTCTGTAAGCCAACCTGAATCATTGTGAGTGAGTTGGGCGGACATTTCTCTTTTGGTAAATGTATTAAACTTGCATGAATTTCTACAGAATACTGTGTACTGTAATAAAAACATGGGCCAGTTAACTGTTCCATCACCACAAAGGCAGATTTTGGCCTCAATTATTTTAAACTTAATATCAAGAACTCTTTGGAATAAATTAGGAAAGTGTATAGGATAGCATAAAAGCTCTGCAAAACTTTGATCAAAGTACATGGTTGAACTTGAAACTGTTCAATTTCTCCCTAACTGAGCATATTCAGATATATTCTAATCTGGGAATTTTTATCTGGACATTGGGTAGCCAATTCATAGGTCAAAGTTGTCAGGATTTGCAATATGGCAAGCTATCTTGAATTGCTTGGTAGCAGTATTACTGCCCAAGAAGTTCATTTTTCAATTATCTGTTCTTATATAAGAAGTCACTGGACTTAATAGAAAGTGTAACTCAAGCAAATATGATAATAATTAAGAATGGGGCAAGTGTTGTATAAGAAGGCTCAGATATAAGGGAAGATTACAAGCCAAATGTTGTTCTCTTGAACTTCCTCACAGAATGATTGATCTTTTGTGTGGACTATTAACAGACATGTATTAATTGAGTATATATACAAATTGATTAGCAAACTGCCATTTTCTTCCCCAGAGTTATTGATTTGGGAGTTATGACACCATGTGACAGGATACTAAAAGCTGCTCTTGAAAACAAAGCAGGTACTCACAAATTTGATTTGTATTTGTCCAGTTTTGTGAAGCTTCAAGATTTTCATCATGTGAAAATGTGTATCTTCAAATGCTAGTTCTGACTAAACTCACTAAGAAAATATAAAATAAGGCGATAACGGGTACAATTTTTCTTCTTGAAAACAGAATCCTTAAAATACATTAGGGTTTGTCAGAAAAATTGGGAGACAGTAAATTTGAAAAACGTATAAAAGTTTGATTTGATATTAAGTAGTCCATTGGCAGATGTAATTATTTTGGCTCAACCTCAGTGCAGTGGTTTACTTTACTATGTAAAAATGTAGCCAGCTTATAGAATTCAGATTTATTTATTTAAGGATAGGTTCTATGTTAATTTTCACCAAAATATGTGGTTTAAAGATTAAGTTAAAGTTCAAATATTTTTTAAATTTGTTATTAAAAAGACAACGGTATTGCATTCACCATAGATATTTGAGATATTTAGAAATTCTAATCCTACCCATTTCACACATGAGTTGAATATCTGGGGTAATATCTCTAGCTACAGAAAGTTAGGGGGAAATTCTAAGTCAGATCCATGCCTTCATGTAACAACTGGATGGCATTTTTACCCTAAAGTTTAACATAGATTCTAAAATCAAAGATAAAATGTTGGAAATATTTGACTATTTATACTTATAGATATAATTGGCTTGTCTGGTCTTATCACTCCATCTTTGGATGAGATGATATTTGTTGCCAAAGAAATGGAAAGACTAGAAATAAGGATCCCTTTGCTGATTGGAGGAGCAACTACTTCCAAGTAAGTTAGGTTTTTTTTTGTTTTTTTGCAGAGGATGTTAACCTAAATACATAGAATTGCTTATGTAAAGAAGTATGATTTCCAAAATTAACTTTTATGTTCCTTTTAGATTATTTTAATCAATATTTATTAGATATGATTATTTATACCATTTTAAATGTACCAAGTCTGAAAATCAAGTGCCTGAATCATAATTTAAGTTTCAGAGAAGTTATTATTTCCTCACTGAAAAAGAATCTGATTTTATTTTCGGTTCAAGTACACATTTGGTATAGCAAAAATTGAACTTGGTTTTGCAACATTGAGAATCAAGCCATACATGTTTTGCATTAACTAAATTTTCTTTTCTTTTCTTTTTTAATATATTTTTATTAATTTTTTTTTACATCGTAAAACATCATGGCCAGGACATACTGGATTTAAATTAAAAATTGGTTAAAAGAGATCACTGGCTATCAGATTGAGCTCAGACCGGAATCCTTCCTATTAGGAATCATTAAAGAAAGATTACCGAAAGAAGTAAAATACCTAGTGTTACATATTATAACAGCTACCAGAATAGCCTTTGCGCAGATATGGAAAACACCAAATACTCCCAATGAAGAACTAATAACACACAAAGTAACAGAAAGTGCTGAGATGAATATGCTAACAATTAAATTGAAAGAAAAAGACGACTCTGAATTCTTTACAATTTGGAACAATTGGTATAAATAGCTAATAAACAGAACCAAGAAGGGAGACAAAAATGTTAATTGAAACAACCCTAAAGAAAGTAAAATAAAAATTTGTAAACTATATAAAGATATAAGAATAGTAATTATAGCTAAAGATATTATTTAATAGTAGATAAATGCAATATAATGTATTATGATATTTAAACCAAAATCTTGTATAGATGCTAAGAACGCTATTGATATCATGATGTTTTACGATGTAAAAGAAAAGAAAAGAAAATTGCATTAACTAAATTTTCATGCAAAGGTCCCAGGAGAATTATAATACATGATAGATTGAAGATAAAAAAATCTAATGGGACAAGAAAGCCTAAACTATACGAGGAATTTCAAACCACACTGCTCAAAAAAATAAAGGGAACACTTAAACAACACAATGTAACTCCAAGTCAATCACACTTCTGTGAAATCAAACTGTCCACTTAGGTAGCAACACTGATTGACAATCAATTTCACATGCTGTTGTGAAAATGGAATAGACAACAGTTGGAAAGCATAGGCAGTTAGCAAGACATCCCCAATAAAGGAGTGGTTCTGCAGGTGGTGACCACAGACCACTTCTCAGTTCCTATGCTTTCTGGCTGATGGTTTGGTCACTTTTGAATGCTGGCGGTGCTTTCACTCTAGTGGTAGCATGAGATGGAGTCTACAACCCACACAAGTGGCTCAGGTAGTCCAGCTCATCCAGGATGGCAATGCGAGCTGTGGCAAGACGGTTTGCTGTGTCTGTCAGCGTAGTGTCCAGAGCATGGAGGCGCTACCAGGAAACAGGCCAGTACACCAGGAGACGTGGAGGAGGCCGTAGAAGGGCAACAACCCAGTATCAGGACCGTTACCTCCACCTTTGTGCAAGGAGGACAGGAGGAGCCCTGCAAAATGACCTCCAGCGGGCCACAAATTTGCATGTGGCTGTTCAAATGGTCAGAAACAGACTCCATGAGGGTGGTATGAGGGCCTGACATCCACAGGTGGGGGTTATGCTTACAGCCCAACACCGTGCAGGACGTTTGGCATTTGCCAGAGAACACCAAGATTGGCAAATTCACCACTGGCACCCTGTGCTCTTCACAGATGAAAGCAGGTTCACACTGAGCACATGTGACAAACGTGACAGAGTCTGGAGATCCTGCGGAGATCATTCTGCTGCCTGCAACATCCTCCAGCATGACCAGTTTGGCAGTGGGTCAGTAATGGTATGGGGTGGCATTTCTTTAGGGGGCCGCACAGCCCTCCATGTGCTCGCCAGAGGTAGCCTGACTGCCATTAGGTACTGAGATGAGATCCTCAGACCCCTTGTGAGACCATATGCTGGTGCAGTTGGCCCTGGGTTTCTCCTAATGCAAGACAATGCTAGACCTCATGTGGCTGGAGTGTGTCAGCAGTTCCTGCAAGACGAAGGCATTGATGCTATAGACTGGCCCGCCCATTCCCCAGACCTGAATCCAATTGAGCACATCTGAGACATCATGTCTCGCTCCAACCACCAGCGCCATGTTGCACCACAGACTGTCCAGGAGTTGGGGGATGCTTTAGTCCAGGTGTGGGAGGAGATCCCTCAGGAGACCATCCACCACCTCATCAGGAGCATGCCCAGGCATTGTAGGGAGGTCATTCAGGCACATGGAGGCCACACACACTACTGAGCCTCATTTTGACTTGTTTTAAGGACATTACATCAAATTTGGATCACCCTGTAGTGTTTTTTCCCACTTTAATTTTGAGTGTAACTCCAAATCCAGACCTCCATGCGTTGCTAAATTTGATTTCCATTGATAATTTTTGTGTGATTTTGTTGTCAGCACATTCAACTATGTAATGAACGAAGTATTTAATAAGAATATTTCATTCATTCAGACCTAGGATGTCTTATTTTTGTGTTCCCTTTATTTTTTTGAGCAGTGTATTTCTTCTAGTTATAGCTGACTGTTCTAATAGCAGTCAATAATTAAACATTTTGTTATGAGATGTATGATGTAAATTTGTGCTATTGTGTAGTGAGAATTACCTTTGCAGCAGTGAAAATGAAATCATAGTTTTAAAAATATGTAAAGCTGGCATTCTGGGGAGTTTGAGAAGAGAATCTGGAAAATTCAGAGAATGAATATTTGTAATATTAAGAGGCTTTTGACTGTTTCTTCATCTGGTTATTGTTTTCTTAGGTTTTCTTTTATGTTATTACAGAACTCATACAGCTGTAAAAATTGCTCCGCGGTATAGTGCTCCTGTCATTCATGTCCTGGATGCCTCCAAAAGTGTGGTGGTTGTAAGTTGTGATAAAATTTCTATCTGAAAATTATACCAGACAGCTCTAATCTAGTGCAGCCCAGATGTATAAAGATTATAAATCCCAGCTGTTTTGGTTATGTTAATTGGTAATTCTGTGAATTGTAATCCCCTAAATCTGTAATAAGTAAATACTCGCATGAAGTGATAGAGTAACTACTCTAGTTTCAGACCTCTGCAGATCTTTTTTTTCTCCTCGACATAGGTTGTTAAAATGTTATTGGATTGTAACCTAAGGACCCTAATTACTATGCAACAATTCTTACTCATAGATAATCCTATGAGGAGTGATCTCAATTTCTTTCAATTTCTATGCTAATTTTATTCTTATTTGCTTCAATGGGCTTATTTGGATAACTTTTTCATGTTGATTTTTGAACAATTTTGCATTTGTACATAAACCTTGTAAAGCTCCTTATAAATGTCTGTAAATGTTCTGATTTTCATGAAGTTCCTTTTGACTTCTGCATTATGAACTTTCAGATTTGTTAAGTTCCTTTTTCATCATTTTGGACCTTAAGAAAAAAAAGACCTCTTTCTTGGTTGTAAAATCAAAAAAACCCGCAAAAACCTGATAGCAGTCTTTTTAATCTCCAAGAAAGTTAAGGACATGATTTATTAGACTTTTGTATTGCTTCTTCAGCCATGAATGACTTTAAGCACTGTCTCAGTCCATATTAGCCTGCCTCTTGCATAGTGAAAGGACTGGTTTAAGAGATGGGTATTTCCACATTGCTGTCTGACATCACATTAATACTTTTTCAGTGGGATCATGTTTTTTTTAAATTCAAGTCCCTCCCCTTTGGACTGTGCATAGCTAGTCTAAGCGTATGAAGTACATATGGTCAGATGTGACTCTTCTTAAGGCAGCAGGGCAACTAGTGGGAGGGAATAAGAGGAAATAATTAATTAATTAATTAAATTTATATTGCTGTCTATTCACTCATGGCGACTTGAGGCGGCTTACACAATGTAAAACTATATTTAAAACCAAAAAATAAAAATAAATAAAATTTTTTTAAAAACCTAACAAAAAGAATCAAATAAATTAGTAAAGTACAATAGAACAAAATTTGGGAAAAAAATTAAAAAATAAAATAAAAACCAACTCCTACTCCCCGCCCTGATGACAGCAGATCACACTAGCCATTCGATGGGCTCCATCCCTCTCTGGGTTCCCCAGGCCCACTGGCAAATCATTCAATGCTTTTCGGAAGAGTGCTAGAGTGGGGGGCATTCTAATCTCTGGGGGAATGATATTCCAGAGAGGGAACCACAATGGAGAAGGCTCTTCTTCTCAGTCCCACCAGGTTTATCTCCCTCCTGCAACATTCCTTGCCTCCTCACTCTAATGGGTTGGGTAGATGTGACTGGCAAGATATGTTCCCTCAGATAACCTGGATCCAAGCCATGAAGAGCTTTAAAGGTGACAACCAGCACCTTGAATTGCACCTGGAAGCAAATTGGCAACCAATGCAGCTCCTGCAGGAGAGGTGACACATGTGTACACCGGGGTCTGCACAAAACCATGCGGGCTGCTGCATTTTGCACTAACTGGAGCTTCCAGATGCTCTTCAAGGGCAGCCCCATGTAGAGCGCGTTGCAATAATTGACAGGAAGTGACCAGGGCATGAGTGACTGTGGGTAGGAACCGCTGGTCCAGGAAAGGGCGTAACTGGTGCACAACCCGCAATTGCGCAAAAGCCCTCCTGGCCACAACCACCACCTCTTCGAAAAAGGAGTCGTGAGTCCAGGAAAACCCCTAGATTACGCACAAAGTCTGTTTGGGATAGTGCCACCCCATCCAAGACTAAAGATGGTAATTCTCTCTGAGCCAACGAACCCCAAACCTAGAGCCAAACTTTGCCTCTCATCAGATACACTTGGATTTCATCCACTTAATAGCCTTCACTTCATCCAGGAATGAAGGGAAAATCTTCCTCATCATCATCTCATTCAGACCTGCTTTCTTAATTAATTCTTTTTTTCATATTTGAAATCTACAAGGTCTTCAGTACATTCACTTGGCATCCTCTTATTGAAATAGTACTCGTATGAAAATATAATGTATCTATCAGGAATTTTGTGATGTTTACAAAAGTTAGGGTAGTTATTACACATGTTCTTTTGGAGTGTTACCTCATTAGGATATGTAAGTTCTCAAAAGAGAGAATTTGAAAAATAATGGATAGCATGCTTCAATGACAGATTTAATCATCCTGTTGTATTTGTTACAGTGCTCTCAGCTTTTAGATGAAAGTGTAAAAGATGACTATTTTGAAGAAATACGAGAAGAGTATGAAGACATTCGACAGGATCATTATGACTCACTCAAGGTAAATAGTGCTAAAACTACTTTTTAATTGTGTAGGGTGTAAGTCTGGCTATGTCAAATGTCTCCCAGAAGCCCATTGGGTTTTCACCTCTGGTCCTGTCTCCTGCTTTGTGTTAGCAATTTGCTAATTCAAAATGCTATCATTTATTTTTCAAGGGACATCTTATCTAATATCCTCCCTCAAACCCCTAGTCTGTGACTGAAGGATGTGGTCACAACATCAGTACTACCTTATTGGTGATTGAAAGGTCAAATGGCAAAAATGAAAATAATTTCAGTAATACTATCTCCTCTGCTTCTTTGTCCAGATTTCCCCCCTCCCCCCGAAATTTCAGATTTTAATCTGAAGTTATGGGAAACTCTTAGACCAGTGCTTTTTCAAATCTTCACTTCCAGCTTCTTCCTGTTTCCTTCTTGAGTTCTGCCTTTATTTATTTTTTAATTCTACCAGATGGTGGGACTGATGGATTCTTGATCTACAGTCTACACCTGGAGATATTTATTGGGAATCTCTGAGTTTTAAAAAAATATTTATAATTAATTTATTTGATTTATATAGCTGTCAATTCACTTTTATGTGACTAGGAAAAAGTTTTCTTCCTGCTGACAAGGTTGTCTTCCAGGCTTGTATTAATTATTGTTAGCTCCATTTGCTTTCTTTTATCTAAATAAATTAACTGCTAGATTTAAATCACACAGCACTAATCTCTAGATTTTCCCTCCCATATATAGGAAAGAAAATATTTGTCTTTAGAGCAAGCAAGAAATAAACGATTCTGTTATGACTGGAAAACTGAGACTAAACCAGGTAAAGTTTTAAAACTGTTTTCTGCTTCACCAAAATAAAAATATGTAGAATCCTTAATGCTCTCTGATGGTTGTTTTCTTGCAGAATTTTCATTACCCAACTAGGTAACATCTTCAGTGCTAGAAAGTACTGAGCTACAGTAGATATATTTTCTTCTATTAGGAACACAGACATTTTTGGATAAAAACTCCATAGTGAATTAAAATTGGATTTAAATCTAGTTTTTGTTTTTATAACTTAATTAAAATTAATTTGTAAATATTTTTTCTCTCAGAAATTCAACTGGTTACCCTATTGTTCTGTTTATTTTGAAGAGTTTCTACTTTTTTAAAGAATTACTTGGAAAACTGTTATAAATTGCTCTTTTGCCTCTCTAGTTAATTGACTTTATTTTAATTTGAAATTAAGTAATATATTAAATTTAAGCTACTTTTAAAATATATAAGAATTAATAGGGCTGTTTTGTATATAAAGATTGGTGGCTGCTTTCCTTAAGAAATATAGCTTGGCTTATGGATTTCTGTAGGACTGTTCACTTCAGCAAGAATTGGCCCAATCAATTAGTGCCAACAGAGAGAAAATGTTATTCCTAACACATTTGATGAGAGTTCAGATTGCTGAGGCCAGAAGGTGCTGCTCTCGTATTGCTGACCTTGTGGAATAGCCTCCCAGTTGAGATCAGGCTAGCCCCCAAAACTTTTAAAGATGGAGTTGTTTTGAGAAGCCTTTCCCTAATGTTATCACATCATCTTTAACTTCTGTTTTATTTTTTTGTATTTTTAGGTGTGGGTATTTATATATACTGTTTTTATGGAATTTGGTACAGTGAATATTTTATCAGTTTTACATTCTCTGTAAGAGTCATTTGATTGCAGGATAAAAATGTGATTCTTACTTGATCCTTATTTATTTATTGATAAAAAATACTTAATCAATTAATCAATCAATCTGCTATGCTCATAGCACCTTTACGGGAGTACTATGTATTTAGAATAATTGAGATTCCAAAAACATTAAGAGAAGGTAATATGAAAAGAATTCTTGATCTGTGCCTGCCTTATCTGAAGTAAGAAGCAAATAGGTTAAAACTGCTATACAGAATTTTTGTGGAGAATTATAAACAGCTCCCATGAATCAGATCTATATTCTCTGGCCAGTTAATTGCAAAGTTGACATGAGAAATCCAGATTAAAGCATCCCTGACAGATGAAAGGCACCACAGCTTTAGTAACCAAGGGATTTGTAAAGTCATGATTTTCCATATACAACAGCTTTCTTTTTTGCCATCTCATGCTGCAGAAAAACCATACATATATTATTATTTTCCAGCTGGTTAGTTCAAGGGAAATAAATTTATAGTCAATAGAGATCCTGTTCGTTGGATTCATTGATGTTCCCTGCATTCAATAGGATCCAAAGACACAGCCTTGGCTAACTGAAGTTAAGCATGATAATCCTTCAGCATTAAGTGTTTGTACTAAAGGCATATTAAATAGAGTCTGTTGTAAAAAACATATGTTGAAGTACAACATTTGTGTGTTGAACTTTCTTAGTTAAACCAAAGTTCCTTGGCACTAGAGTCTTTGAAGATTATGACTTACAGAAGCTGGTGGACTATATTGACTGGAAACCATTTTTTGATGTCTGGCAGCTTAGAGGCAGATATCCCAACCGGGGATTCCCTAAAATCTTCAATGATAAAGTAGTGGGTGAGTAAGCACAATAGCATTTTGTCTAGTGGACGATATAAAAACTAAGTTAATTATTATTTAAAATACTTGTAGTTGTGTTAATATGCAAAGGAATTAATGATGCAGATGAGATGCAGATAGATTTATCATCCATAAAACAATTATGTAACTGGTACATTCGTGTTGTTTTTATCTTGACATACAGAGAACACAACTAATTCCATTAATCCAACTTTCATTTTTGAAAGGCTTGTGATTAGCTATTCATTAAATCATTTTTTTCTGCCATGGCAAGATATTATTTTGGGCCACCTGTAGTCAGTGTGTGGATAGAGAAGATTTACCAGATTGTTTATATATTCCTAATTTAATAAGAGAAAATTGTATGTTTAGATACTGTCACTAGGAAATATACAAACATTCATATACTTTTTCTGAAATACTTATTTTCATCCATATGCCTGCAATAAATTTCACTGTAAAACTGTTGATAGCCATGTAGCCACTGAACAGATGTGATAAAGAAAGCAAAGTCAGTGATTTTAAGGTTGCAGGTAACAAAAAAACCCAAACTTTGATTATTTTCTTTAAAAATTCTTTAGTTTATTTTAAGTTGACACATTATGGTAAGCCATAATATGATTTGTTTAGGTATTGTGTGTGAATCCAACCATTGTATTTTATTCAAAATGATTTAGCCAGCCATTCTTACAATTTTTTTCTCCTTTTTTAGGAGAAGAGGCAAAAAAAGTTTACAATGAAGCTCAAAACCTGCTGAAAAGTCTGATTACAGAAAATAAACTTAAAGCCAAAGGTCTGATTGGGTTTTGGCCAGCTCGAAGCATTAAAGATGACATTTACTTATATGATACAGAAGAGAAGCTACAAAATTTGGAACCAATAGCTAAGTTCTGTGGCTTACGACAACAGGTGTGGCTTGATGATATTCTACTCAACCAAAATGTTACTTATTTCAGACTGTGAACTTGAACTAATCTTTACGCATTTCCTAAATATGATTTGTGATTATGTAGACAAGAGCAAGCAAGTTGGGATCCACAGATGCTTTGCTAGAAAATTCCTAAATCCCAGCCTCCAGAATGATTTGTCAAGAAGTATAAGATATAATTATTTGGAGGGGTTAAGAATGGTTGCCTCTGAGAATCACAAACTATACACTAGTTTTCTATTGTTTTATTTAAAACATGCCTGTGTGACCGTTTCTTTGCAGCTTTGAGATGTGAAATCCTCACTTTTAATGTATTTTACCAACTTGAAAGCATTGTTTTTAATCTGAAAAACACATGCAGCTTTGCAGCTAAAGAACTTGCAAATATAACCTGTTATACAGCCATTTAAATCAAATGATCTGTCTTTTCCACTTTATCTCCATAAAAGTATATACAGGATCATTTATCTGCTAGTTTGTCACTATATTAAACTTGCTCATATGAGACATAGTAATGCAACCTCCTACTTTGTCTTTAAAATCAGTTAAAAATGGAAGTTATATAAGAAGCTAAAGAAAAGAAGTTTGCATTTATGTAATAAACCTTCACAGTATGTGTGTGTGCAATGTGGAGATAATTGTCTTTAAAAATTAGCAAAATGATAATGATGTATTCTGTAAGTAGATTAAAACAATGACATTTCACAAGGAAAGGGGAACTGTAATACTTGGATTTTGGATCCTTATTGTAAATGCTGCACAGAAAACTTGGAAAGTGAATCTTTCTGTGGATTCTAAATAAATTTGCATTTTTGAAAGATAATCTCCAATACATCCAATGAGGTGACCTCACCATCTTTCTGAGTAATTGGTTCTTACGTTTAAATTATTCTTATTGCAAGATTTTTTTTAATGTTCAGACAGAATCTGCCTTCCTGTAATACAAGCCCAATATTTTGTCCCTTGTACAATAAGAAACATGTCTTCATTATCCCTGTGACATTCAGGAATTTGAAGAGTGTTATACTCATAGTATATTTCCAGTCTCTGCAAAAATCTCTTCACTGGAATTATTTTCTAGTCCACGATCATCCTTGTTGACTAGTCTGAACCCTCCTTAAAATGGTGCCTTCCTGAATCATATACTGTATCAAGGTGGGATCTAACCCATATGAAACTGAACTTTCTGTACTTGAAATTGTATTTGCCATGCAGATAGGTCACTGACTTAGTTTGGAATTAATATGAATAGCATGCAAGGAAAGTATTGTGATTATCAGGATGCCGCCTTCCCTTCTCCCACATAAGTCTACATGTTACTATAGATTGGGAGAATCACTGTGTATCTTATTGCCCTGTATTACAGTTAGGTCTTTTATATTTAACATTTTGCTCAATTTATCATTGTAGGCTGAAAAAGACTCTGGTTCCACAGATCCCTATTATTGCCTGTCTGATTTTATATCTCCCCTGGAGTCTGGTGTTTCTGACTATTTGGGTCTCTTTGCCGTGGCATGCTTCGGAGTAGATGAGCTATGTAAAGAATATGAAAAACAGTCAGATGACTACAGTATTATAATGGTGAAAGCACTAGCAGATCGGTTAGCGGAGGTAATGTATTGTATTTTTGTTTTTTTACATAATTCTACTTATTTTAATTCATGTATTGGAAGGGAGGGAAGCACCAACCTGCTTTTTTGGAAGTAGATGACTATTATCTATATAGCAAATGTATTGTAATAATTTACATAAATGTTTTATCCAATAATGTCATTTACGATAGAGGTCTTGTTGATTCTTTGAAAACCTCCATCAGCAAATGAAAGAATGAATTAATTTTTACTGTTTATTTTCTCCTGTAACCACCAAATCTGTTTCAGAGGGGAAGGGAATCCTGTAGATAATAAGCAGGGAATCTGAAAGAAACATTTTACTTTTATGTGTGCAAGTGTGGGAAATCAATGGATCAATTAAAATGTCCTTCTAGCAGAGTAATGAGCCTATAGTAAATGCAGAGATATCTTTAAATATGAGCCATGCAATCAGAGGTGGTATTCAGCAGGTTCTGACCAGTTCTGGAGAACCGGTAGCAGAAATTTTGAGTAGTTCAGAGAACCGGCAAATCCCACCTCTGACTAGAGATTTTACAGTATCCTTCCCTTGCCACGCCCACAGAACTGGTAGTTAAAAAAATGTGAATCCTACCACTGCGTGAAATATTAAGATAAGAGCTAAAGGTAATGGTACATTGAGAGCCAGTTTAGTCTTGTAGCTAGAACACTTTTCTACTCCTGTTTTAGGACTAACAGCCACTCAGAAGTTCTCTCAGTGCCAGGAAGAAGGCAGTGACAAACAATTTGTACCAACAATACCAAGAAAATTGCATATATATCTCTGAGTAGTTACCAGGAGTCTGTGTAGTCACCAGGAATCAGGACTGAGTTGAAAGCACCACACACTGATAAACTAGGTACTTGGACAAAGCATCATTAAATTTAGAGCTTGCTTTTGCTTATTTCTAAGGCATTTGCAGAAGAACTTCATGAACGAGTTCGGAAAGAATTCTGGGCTTATTGTAAAAATGAACAGTTGGAATTTTCAGATCTGCGTAAAATAAGATATCATGGCATTCGCCCAGCAGCTGGTTATCCATGTCAACCTGACCATACTGAAAAAATCACTATGTGGAGACTTGCCAATATTGAGGAAACTACAGGTATCTTTCAAAGTTTGGTTAGGAAGTTCTATCTTAAAATATCTTTTTGTTTTTTCCATACCTGTTCTGCATTTTGAAATAGATGAGGGGAGAAATTATAAATGCTCTGTTTTATTTTTATTGTCTTCCTTTTATGACTGAGATGTTTATAACGATGAGAGGATCCCCATTAAGTTCACCTCCTCTTCAATTTTGTGAATGAGTTGTGCAGGTGGGAGAGCATATGGCCAGGATGGTATGCATGGTCCCATCTTCTGTTCACTGTTAAATCATCATCTGTTTTTAGTGTATACTTAAAGAAGGCTCCTTCTTTTTCACACACTCACAAAATAATGTTCAGTGTATAGATAATTTCCTAACTGATTGCACAACTATAAAATTATAATGGGTGATTTGGACTGGATTTGTCAGGAAATTGAACTCCCAAAGTTTTTCTCAAATACGACTCAGAGATTCTGCAATTTGGCAATTTTTAAATCAAAATAAAGTCTATCTTCCAAAAAAGCCAACACAACTCCTTTCCTTTGATTCTTACAGGTATTCAGTTAACTGAATCTCTAGCAATGTTCCCTGCCTCAGCAGTATCTGGTCTCTACTTTTCCAATCCGGCTTCTAGGTATTTTGCTGTTGGGAAAATATTGAAAGATCAGGTAAGGCCTTTTTGCAGTTACAGAAATTGCATTAAAAAGGAGAGAGATGGAAATGGGAACCATATATATAGAAACATGCTACTTTTGATAACCAGGATCAATGCAGCGTGGGGCAAATGGAAGTCCGTCACGGGCGTCCTCTGTGACAAGAAGATGCCGATGCGCCTGAAGGCGAAAATCTATAACTCTGTGGTGCGCCCCGTGGCCATATACGGCGCAGAGTGCTGGCCGACGACCAAAGAAGTCGAAAGCAGACTCCAGATAATGGAGATGCGAATGCTCCGATGGTCGGTAGGCCTCACCCTACTCGATCGCGTCAGGAACGAAGAAGTGCGTAGACGGTTCAACGTCGTGCCCATCCCCACGGTCATGAGGCAGTCCCGGCTACGATGGTTCGGCCACGTGAGCCGCGCCAAGGAAGAATCCATCATCAAATCTGTAATGAAGGTGACTGTCGGAGGAGCGAGACCGCGTGGTAGACCTAAACAACGCTGGATGGACACGATCAAGGCCGATCTAGAGATCGCGAAGGCAGACCCGACACACGTGGCAGACAGAGAGGTGTGGAAGCAGTACTCAAGGACATTAGCGGACCTCGCCCGAGCGCGAGACAAACGCTGAAGAAAAAGAAGAAGAAGAAGAAGATGCTACTTTTGATAACATATCATTTAGATCAAGGGTCCCCATTGGTCCGCGGCCCAATGCAAGCATGTGAAGCTGCTTTTGTGCAAGCGGTATGTGCGTGAAACCATCTTCTCTCCAACACCACTGCTACCACCACCAACAGTCCCCAGGGCCAGAAAGGTTAGGGACTGCTGCTTTAGACTATTCAATATGGTATTTGAGCGCTAAATAATTTATTTTGTGTGTATTAAGAGTACCAATAATTCTTATTAAATATTATAAACTGAGCAAATGGCGGACAAGATTCAGAAACCTATAGTTAAAATACAGGTTAAATTGCAAACATAGAAGCTGGTTATTGATGATATTAGCAGAAAATTACTAATGTATTATTTGGGTCTAGAAGGTTCCGTGAAGCCTATAGATGTATAAAAGGAATGTGAGTAACTAAGTAAGACCAAAGCTATATTTTACTTAATAAAAAATGTTCAACATGAAATGTTCCAATGTGGAAAAATATTAATCTCGTCCCCCAATTCATTCAATTCAGTTAAAGAGATAATTGGAGTCAAGTCTTGTGAATATTTAATTTAAACAATTAGCACTTATTTAAGCCCACTCTCCCTCCCTCCCAGAAATTTTGGTTCCTGTCATAGCAAAGTTTGCATCATCAATCTAGAGTCATGCTTTGCACAAAATCGCTTTCTGAATAATTTATAAAAAAGCTGTTGTTGCTTGTCAGTTTGGAAAATGTTATAAAACCATGCCTAAATCTCTGGGCTTCCATTTGTTAAGTGTATCAAAATCACTTCCAAGAGTGCAGACAGCACCCAAGAATCTAAAGGCTTTTTACACCTTGGCTAAAATTAGTGTTCATGAATTCACTATCAAAAAATCGTTGGGTAAAAAACTGGATTTATGGGAGAAGAGTTGGAATTGGAAGGCATTGTAATTGTGGTTGTCTCATGTTGACAAACATCACCTGGATAATCCTTCAGATTTGGGGAAGAACATTCTATAAACAGATGAGTCAGATGTGAAACTTTACATACTATATGTGTGTCATCATATCTGGGAGTCACCTAACACCACATTCCATAATATTAACCACATCCTAACTCTCAAGCATGCAGGTGGTAATAGCATAGATGAGGATAACTACCTTTCTTTGAAGGAAGCATAAATTTTGCTTCTATCAGAAGAAAACAAAGATGTAACAGAATATCAGGTAAACTCCCATCAACTAAAAGTGAAGCATACACGTTAAAAGTAGTAATTCCAAATATATATCTAAATTTACTCTAGAATATATGAAAAACAGTTTCATTTTTTGGGAATGGCCAAGTCAATGTCTAGAACTAAAGCTGATATAAGTATTCTGGTAGGACCTGAAATGAGCAGGTCATGTTAGAGCTTCACTTGAATAGATCTTACTATATTTGACAGCACAGTATCAGCAGTAGAATTCTTCAAGTTTTTGGGTTCTGTGATCTCCCAGGAGTTGAAATGGACACTTAACATTAGAACCATCATTAAAAAGACACAACAAAGAGTGTTGTGTCAACTCAGAAAGTATAGATTTCCCCAAAAGTTGCTGATACAGCTTTAAAGAGGAATTATTGAATCTACCATTTGTAGTTCTATGACTGGTTTGGTACAACAACCAAACAGGACAGTTACAGACTCGAATTGTTAGTTAAAACTATAGAAAGAACAACTGCATCTAGTCTGCCTTCCATTGAAGACCTGTATATTGTGTGGGTAAGAAGGAGGTCTGAGAAGATATCTACAGACCCCCTCACATCCTGGACATAAACTGTTTAAATTCCTTCCCTTGGGATGCCGCTTTAGGGCATTGCATGCCAAAACTAGGCACAGGGTCAGTTTTTTCCCTTATGCTATCACACTGCTGCACACCTAATCCTCACAATGCTGTTTAGTGTCTATGTATATTTACTCATGTAGTATGGCTGTAGTGTTATTTATTCTTATTATCTTCTTTACTGTGCCCTCTTATTGGTATGATAATGATGATGGTGATTGTGTTGCTTTGAATATTCACTGAGAACTTCTGCACTGGAAACAAACTCCTTGTCTGTCTAATCACACTTGACCAAATAAAGTATTCAATTCATTATGAAAGAATAAGATTCAAAAGAGAAGAGAACAATAAACTACCCTTCCAAATGCCTCACAAAAAAGCCCACACTGATAAAGTACTCTACTATTACACTAAAAATCCAATAGCACAGAAAATAAGCTATGTAAGATCTCTCAGTCAGAAGACACAATGAAAACTCTTTAATTTCACAATACGCCAACAAATTCAACAATGTCATTTGGGAAACTGTAGATATCTTAGACTAAAAATGCTAGACAATTCCTGCAGGCAGGGCATTCTGATGAATTGGTCATTAGCAGGCATGTTGGAAGAAACTCCATCTACAAACTATTCAAGAAAGGAAGGAGGTAAAGATAATGGAAAGAGGCAAACAGTCCTGAACATACCCTTCTGCATCACATATTGCAATCAAGCAATATGTCACTCAAAAAGTAATAAAGGGAGAAACAATATCCTAATGAAAGGAGAAGCTACTGCATATAAATAGCTAGCAAGCTGCAGTCCTCCATGCAATGAAGTTGTTGCTTAATTTGGTAATGACATGTCTGCAAAAGAGAAGCAAGCTTAGACAACACCAAGAGCCAGCTAGACAAACAGATTTCAGCTAAAGGTGATACAGTAAGTTGTTTAAGGTGGGATAGTTTTTCATACTGACCCAGTGCACATTGAATGAATATATTAGTGAAATAAAAGCATAAATTGTCATTTATTCACTTAGATTCTGTTTATATATCACAGAACCTCCAAGAAACTGTCATAACATTAAATGCCAAAGATGTCAAAAGTCTGAAGGTGTGTTTTTTCACAGAATTGTAGCAGAAGAGTTTTCTGTTCAGAAAAAAATTATGAAATATAGTTTTCCATATATTTTTATTAGTGTAAGATCTGAAACTTAAAATACTAATTAGTAATCCTCTTATTTGTTCTACAGGTTGAAGACTATGCCTTAAGAAAAAATGTGCCTGTGGCAGAAATTGAAAAATGGCTTGGACCTATTCTTGGATATGATTCAGAGTAACAAAATAGGGTGATTGATTGGTTGGTAATAGATATAGATATCAGCTATACAGAAAACATTCACAAGCAAAATAGGGAGGGGATTTGTGTCTGTGTTGGGGCACAGTATTGCTTCTCCATTTCATACTATGTAACAAGAGTCTACCAGACTTGTGGAACAAATGTGGGAGAAAACTGCCTTTCCTTGTTTTCTGATTAATTTTAAATAAACAAGAAATTGTTTTTCTGTTTCTTCAAATGATTATTCAGTGTAGCTACCTGCCATGGTGAAAACAAACAATATCTAATTTAAAATATTCTCTACACTACATCAAACTTAAAATAAGTTGTAAAACAACAAACCTAAAACAAAAAATTCTTAGATGTGAAGTGTATCTTTCAGTTTTGGTTATCCAGGAAATTATGTCCATTTACATGAATATGCATGTTATCATGAGCTATTTAAAATATACTTTCTAAATTAAAGATCATTCTAATTGTATTTGGGGTTTTGATGTGTGTATATGGAATATCCTTTGCCTGAGTGTCCAAAGCTCATCTTTTTTAATAGAATAGTTTCATAAAAAAATAAAAGGCAAGATAAAAAAAATCAAATACATGAATATTTCATGAAAATGAATACAAATATTATACTAAATGTATAATTAACTACTAATAGTGTAATCTGTAATTTTGCTTTCTGAGAAAATAGCTGTTTGACATGGTTTTATAGTCCTAAGAAAAAGCTCAGCAACTATTTGCACTGACATGTCCCTCTATTTGGGAGTCTTAGTGATATTTAATGTAATTGTATGTGTATTTAATAGGTGGTGCCAGTGCTTTAGATTCATTTGGAAGAGGTACTTCAGAATGCCTTGGGCTGTGAATGCAACACTTTTCTGCAATTCATAACAGTCACCTCTTTTCAGAAATATCGTCAGAGAAAAAAGACCTAGTTGCTTTAATGAGATGTGCCTTTGTGCCGCCCATGTTTTCTGAAATACTTTTTCCCAATTGAATCCATCAAGCATTGCATAGCTTTAATATTTAATAGCAAATTGGTTCAGAAATTAAAAGGAATGTGGGAGGTTAGTAAGTGCCTTGATTCTTAATTCCTTCTTAATATACTGGGACATGTCTGAACAGTAAAAGAATATAGAAAAAAGGGACCACAAAAGGAGACTATGGTATATGTTCACATAAACAAATCTAGATGTTACGGAGTTTATATTTGCATATAAGCCTAAAAATACTCTTCAGACTTCTCCACTTAAGTTGTGATTGGAGTTCGTAGGATGCCCTCTTGTTATTCCTGTGTTCAGGTCTTTTTTCTAAATAAACAATTGCTTATTGATTATTATAATGGATTGTTCATAATAGCTCAATTATTTACTCTTGTAAGCCCTGGAAAAATCATGCTCTTTTTGGAACTTTTATAATCTCTGTTTGTAATTACACTCACAGGTGGCACAGCCTTCTGTTCTGTTACTACAGAAATGTGCTCTGTTATTTCTGTGTTGTTACATACCAAGAGCTGCCAAAACATTAGATTGCAAATCTTTAGATTTTTACATGAACAGTACCTTATGCCACTGCCATAAGGTCAGTTTCTTGAAATCTCTATTTTCTTTTGCCATCGAATTGCCTTTTTGCAGGCCTCTGTAATGTGTGGATTTTTCATCAGTACATGTATTCTGGTATCGAAAGCTAGAGGACTTAAATTAGTACTGCTAATATTTTCACAATAGGTTTTCATATATTTTATTTTCCCATTTTAATTTGAGGAAAATGTTTATTATTCATTTGTAGACTTCGATAGAGGCTCTCTAGGGCCTTGATAAAACCAAATTAATTAGATTTATATTTCTTCAGTCTTGATGAAACAGAAGTATTCATTTAGACAGAGAAAAGTCTCACATTCTGTAGATCTCAATGAGATTTATGAATGGCTGTAAACTGAGAAGTTTGGAAAAGTCAAAGAGGTTTCCTCCCCTCAAGAAAAACCCCTGCTAAAATATCACAAATAGTTCCTATAACACTTTCTTCTTAAGTAGACACATGCCCCAAATTTTGGATAAACTGGATGAACCATCTGGAATCAATATATACTGTTAATTTTCTTTAGATTGCCACCTGAAAGGAATGGAAGTCAACCAATGGCTTGCGGCCCTTCCCTGTGATGGCCGGGTCACAACTTCTTACCATATCTTTTCTTTTCCTTCAACACCATTATCAATATTTATTCCTAATGCTCCATTCTCAAGTGTGTCACGTGAATTCTGATTGGTGTTATGCAGGCAAGAGTTTCTTGGTTTGCAAGGCAGTACCTAGAGATCTTAACCACTGTTTATCATTGAAGGACTATTATTTACAGATATTTTATATTACATGTTTTGAAATCTCTTATGTCAAATTATGATTAGCCTATCAGATTTTTCACCAGATTGAATAATGCTAATATTCTTTATGCTCCACTGGGCTTGTAGAGGATTTATCATCACCAAATTTCAAATAAAATCTCTTACTAAAGTGTAATTCTTTGGATTGTTTTTGTTAACTTCTTTGGCATCCTGTATACCTGTATCAGCAAGTGTTCACTGTGTAGTAGATGCGTATGTTATTTTGAACTCTGATGGTTGAATGAATGTCTTTATTGCCGTTTGTTTTGTTTCTGAAAAAAACTAACAGATGGGGTAAGTGCCTCAGCAAACAAGCTCTCTGCTAGATCTTCAAATCAAATTACTAATCTTTCCTCCTTATATCTACCTGGGATGGAATAAAGAGGGCATATTTTTAGCAGGAAGGCTGCACTTTTTTCCATCACTTTTTTCTCCTAATTTTTCAAGGATTGCAGAAAACTTGTGACTTGTGGCATGAGACTGTCACAGAGCGAGGAAAACCAAGCAATTTTTTTTACTTTTTCTTTTGGATTTTTAAAGGGGAAATTGGCTCAGTGGTTAAAAATAGATGTGCTAAAACTTGCAGACACTTAATGTATTTATTTTTAACTTTCAAGTGGAAAAAAAAAGGATATCCAGTCTCTTTGCCACCTACTTTTTAAATTTTCATTGGGACTCCAGAAAAAAATTAATTGAATGCTAGGGACCTTGCATTTTTCTTTATAGCAAGCCCCATTCCATTAAATAAGGTGTATTTTTTTAAAAAAAGGAAATAGGATCTATCTTTAATTTAGAAGTACAGGGAAGCATTGTTGTAAATAGGATGTCTGAGGCTTTCTTTCTAGCAATCTGTCAGGTACCAGTTAAGATGCTGGGTTTCCTTTGCTATCCTTGTTGCCTCTTGTTTTTTAAAAACCCTTTGTTTGTGTAATTGCAGAGCTTTATCCTTAGCTGTTCTTAATCACTAGGGTTTTTTTCCTTTCTGGTTGTGATGGACCTCTTTCCTTAAGTAGTGCTTTTGTGAGATACTGCAAGGTTTATGTGCCTGACTTATCCAACAATTCAAATTAGATTCTCAAACTATCTTTCCTAGTATTCCTCATTATCCTATTATTTGGCTACTATCGCAGGGCTCTACTCGAGGGCTTTCATGATCTCCCATTTTCACTTATTAACAGTACATTTCTGAATACATTATGCCATTAAATTGGATTGGGGAGTGACATGTTCAAATCTCTGTTATGGCCTATCAAGAAAAAATGAAATGAGAATTCCATGTGAGCTTCACTGGAAATACACAAATACACACACACTCTAATGCAATTTGAAAAGCTGTAGATAGAGTGGTATATTTTTAAATGACTAAAAACTCAATTTAAATCCTTTCTGTGTCATGAAGCTCACTGAATATCATAAAAAGAATTGCTGTCTCTCAGCCTAACCTAGCTGAGATATAATCCATGTACAATATTCATGAAAAAGAGTGAAATGCATGGGATAAAATTATGTTTCAGCACAGCCAAAATCAGGATTAAAAATATGCTACCCTTACCAATGCTACTTTACAGTAATTGGTTCTTCTAACCCAAGTTGAAGTTAGCTTGATTTGCATCTAGCAAGAAGGATTTTCATAATTGTAGAGCATTCAGAAGATTTAATAAAATTAGAAGGAATTCCCAGGGAGTTGACATGGTGGAAACTGTTCCTAGTCATCAGTGAAGCATGAAACGTAACACAACTGGTCCTTTTAAATCTCTACATGCTGTTGTGTGGAGAAGGGAAGAAAGAAAAAAAAATCTTTTGGCTTCAATCACCATTGAAAGTTAGCAATTTGCTACAGAATTCCAGTGAAACAATCCTGGGCAGTTCTGGAGCATAACAAAATTGGGACTGGGAGGGTCATGGGGAGACTTACGGAGTCCCTAATTCAGAGTTTATTCAATCAAAAAACTAGCAATAGCGCCCACAAATGCCAGCTGCACTTAATCAAATATGGATGTATTCCTTTCTAAAAATAAAAATAAGTATCTAATATTTCATCTAGGTTTCTCTGTTTAATTGTGGAAGACTTAACCCTGTATAAATGTATATTGTAAAATTATATAGCATAAAATGGAACCTAGTGTTATTTTTCTGTTAATGGCTTAGTATATTCATCTCAAGTCTTTGAATGAAAGATCAAGAACAAATAACATCGCTAAACCTTAGCACTGTTATTGATCTGCCTTGTAGCCTGATGGATGAAAGTATGTGAGTACCAGACCCAGCTCATGACAAGTATTAAATATATATGGAGTTGGGTTCTTGGAACATGTTGAACAGCAGAACTTTAACTAATTTGTCTCATAGAAATTGAGTAAATTCTAAGGAAAACCAACCAGCAGTTAGGATTTTCCAATTTCTGCTTTGCATTTTTGGATACTTTGTTAATACATATATCATTTGCTAGGGAAAACTCATGCCTAGTGGTACTAAGTTATGCATTATTGCAACCCATTAGTAGTCTGAAATAACCTTTTTATTTTGCTACAGCTATGTATTACATGAACAACTCCAGAGTTATGGTACCTCCTTTATAAAATGGTGGGTTCTAGGAAAAAATATGGCTGAATAGATGTGATTTTTTTTTTCTTCATCTCCTTTCCTGAAATTGAAATTAAGAGTGAGGGAAAGGCAATGATAACAATGTTGACTTGTATTTAGTTCCTAATAACAGGAAGAAGTGTTCTACTTTGCAGAAGGAAATGTGTTGTATTAAAATGTTTTCTTTTAAATTAATAGATTACTAAATGTGCTCAAAGACCAGTGTTCATAATCTCTTGTACTTTAAATGTATTATGTGTAGAACTCCTGGAAACTATACTTAGCAGGTTTAGTTGGATGATGGGAGTTGTAGTTTCAACATGCTTGTAATCACAGATTTCGAAAGTACATTACAGGGGATGGTATTATTTAAGTTTCTTTTACATATACATGCCATTGATTATCCATATGGTAGATTTATCCTACAACAGAATTCTCTGTTAATGCCCAGAATGAGTTTTAGAAAATTTAATCTAAAATTATACCTTGTTACACTAATTCTGAAACACACACAAGTATTTCAACATGCTGTTTTTGTTTGTGAAGTCAGAACATTAAAATTCTAGCTCCAGGCTAACTTGCATCTTATGTTCTCCTTTGCCTTGAAAAAGTCATTCAGCCTTGCAGTCCCTTTTCCCTAGCTGTTTCTCCACTAGACTAATAAAACTTTGTCCACTGCTATTTAGTTCAGACCCCACTATTCTCCATCAGTGTTTGTCTTTTCCCTTAATAACTAGTGAAGTTAGACTGTAGTCTAGCTATGATTTATATACACTAAAAGTGTCAAGGGGAAAGTGATTTAAAATGAGAATGTCTTGAAATGTTTTAATGTTATGTAGTGTGATAGTAGTGCAATTATTTGAAGACTACTGACATTCTACTTAGCAATTTCTATCTGCCAAGTTATCTCAGCATATTTTTATGTGCAGTTAACTTGTCATACATTTCCTCCCATTAAAGGCTTTTCTGTTCATTGCTTTGCTCTGTTGTACTGTGCTGGACATTTTAAAATGTTCCTCACCACAAGAACATGGGGGGTCGGTGGACAATTTTAACTCAAATTTCTCTCCTGCAACCCACAAACTTACTCCCATTTTCTTCTGGAAAATCTCCCACTTTCCCAAATCAGATGTTGGAGACCCCAAATACATCAGAGGGGAAGATAAATCCACTGATATCACTGGCCTTTTACCAGAGGGATATTCCATTCTACTATTTCTAACTGGATGTTACACTGCTATGTTATGTTATGTATTTATATTAAGGTGACTAGACAGCCTTACATTTTAAAACTCTCTAGAGGCCGAAACCATAGAGAAAAATCAGATGTCAACACACATTAATAAGTATATAATTAGCTCCAATTAATACATCTACAGACTGTAACATACATTTCATGCACAGTTAGCATCTGTGAACGTGCAACTAAAATGCATTTCTACTTTTCATACTGTTTTGGCTCTTAGCCTTGTTTAAAAGCTTGTATCCAAGTTATCTGTGTATGACAGTAGTTCAAAAATGATTGTGTGGGATGCTGATAACTATGGAATGATACTATATGGAAATCAATGGCATCAAAAAGTCTGTTAACTGCATTCTGGATTCTAATGAAAATTGAAAAGTTGAGTTTATACCGATGAATTTGTAAGTTGTCATACATGTTTATTCTATATGTATGAATCAAGATATGTTTCAATAAAGCTGAATTATTTCACATTATACATCCCTTGATTAACCTAATGAGATATCGGTTAGATAGAAATGACCAAATGCAGTAGAATGTGGCAGAGACCATGTGGTCACCAACTGATCACTACAGTACGCCGAATCCAGTGGCACCTGCACCCATAAGGGACTTACATGCAGAGAAGATCACATCCTATACTTGTAATCTTAACTTCTGGTTTGAAAAGACCTCCAGGGAAACCAATAGACAATTCTAAAAAATCAATTATCAAATTAAACTCAGGATGTTCATTACTCTAAACACAATAATCAGTAGAAGGGGAAGATGATTGCTAAGGCCAGGGGAATTCAAAATGAAAATATAATTACCTTTCAATAGGCCTCCGTAGTTGGTGTAAGGTTAGCGACAAAATTAAGTGTCTAAGGACATTTCAAACCTGCAATGTGTCTTAAAAAAGTCCATTCAATTTTAATGTAAGAGTAAGAAAATGTTTAAATTTTTTTCCAATACGATCTACATGTCTGGGCAGATACAAAACCATTCAGGCTTTAAAAATCTAAAGTAGCACTATAATTTGGCCTAGAAATACAAGTTAGAAGTAAATGATTATGAGAAGCAGTATGTCCTAGTTACTTTTGCTGTTTTTGAAATTCCAAATAATTTTCTAAAATATTTTAAAAAGGAGATGCACTCTGCCTGATTCCTACATACGGTGATAATGAGTTTGTCCAAACACATCATGATCCAACAGTACTAAGGAAACAGTATGTTCATGGATGATATCCATGTCAACAGTATATTCCAGCACTCCATAATTAAGGTTATGATGAAACATGAACATTTAAAAAACCTATTGTGCTGATACAAAGAATACTGTTTTTTCATGCAGTGAATTTAGATTGAATAGAAGGCACAATTCGTGTCTTATTTCCTTTTCTTGATTTTTTTTTAAAAAATATCTGCTATATTTCCTGTGCTGTGCTCAAAACCAGGAATAATACTGACTTGAGCAAGAAGGCAACTCTTATTAATCAGGATGATTTGTTTTCCAAAGAGTTGCAAACAAAATTCTGTTCAGACTGATTGTCTGAAATATCTTAATTTCATTTGCATTTGAGATAACTAATACCAATGGAAGAAGTGGGAAAATCTGATTTGGTTGACATGTTAATTAGTGAGGTTATATAATCTCTATCAATCAGTTCCTTTTTCCTGTAT